TCTATTCTGTATTCTTTTTTTTGACAATTAATTTTTTTATTATTAACATTCCGCCACTCCCATTTAACTAACGGCGCGGCAGTTGGGTCGCAGGCTGTTGAAGTTAGTCAGAAAAAAAAGTAATGCAGATTCACTGACTACCATTAAAATTTAAGCAATTCGATTTCATCTTGAGTGGGTGGTCATAACTAAGTGTAGTCTTGGCAAACATGACATTTTTAGTTTAAAATACAGTTTGAGACTGGAATATGCCTCCTTTTCCGAATCAGAAACAGTTGGAATTATTTAATTTCTTTATAAAATTGGGTATGAAACAAAGACAAATCTCATTAACATTAGTAGTTTTTGAATAGTTGTGTGTTGCTTTTGGCGAGTGTTGTTTTACTCAGTGGACAGTTGTAATATTGAGTAATAATCGAATTTGTATATAAGCTGCACAAAAGATTTGTGTGTACTCAATTTGACTTATTGCAAATGCTACACGGTGCAGTCAAGTGTGTGTCAGAGATTAATATTGAAAAAATATATATCTGTTTGAATATGCCTGTATAGTTTACACGAGTAAGTGTGTATATTCTGTTTACTATAGTAAACGAAAAGCACTAACGTTAAATTTAAATGACACTACAAAAACAATAACACTGCCCTGTTTGGGCAACTATGGACTAGGTTTTGTTTTTTATTATTTGTATCCGGATTATATTGTGTTATTACAAATAGCTGGTACATTATTTGTTTTTTTTTATTTATTGTTTACTATTGAAAAGCTAAGGTAGTTGTTTTGACTAAAAACAAAAAAAAATGATCAAAACAACATATGCGCGGCCTTTAAAAATTACAAGTCGCTGGCAAATAAGGGAATAGACAAAACAGAATTGTGTTGTTGATTTTGTTGGGTTCGATCTTTGTTTACATACTACGAGCTTAGACTTTTCTTTTTTAACGATATCGATAATATTGTAGAAAACGTTTTTTGGGGTAAATTTTCAAAAAAAAAACAACTAAACAATATATGTATTGTTGGACATTGATTTCGACTAGGTCCTAAAATTGTACCTGAAAAATAACGAAAGACCTTTCTTCTTTTCTTAATAAAATATAATATAAATCTCATTTCGGAATTTCAAAATAATTTATTATGTGATATGTTTTGTTTTCTTTGCTGTATAACTTTGGAGCCGTACAAAAGGAAATCAATTGGACAAATAACTATCAACAATTGTTATTCATTTAATTGTCAGCATGAGTTGTGATTTTATCTAGCTAATAACGAAACTTAATTAAGTAATAAGTTATCTATAATATGTTTTCACGTTTTCTAAATTGCAATATAAAAAATTATCATCTGTTTAAAACTACAAGTGGACTTATCCCGTTACCCTAAGTGATTATTTTGGCGCGTACTGGCCCAGACGTCTTATCTAATATTGCGTTAAACTCGTGCAAGTATTCTTTGGTTGTTACTGTTTTTTTAAATATTTAATCAGGTTTCAAAGTTGGGTGTTGTACCTACTTTTGAAATCAGATGTTCTACTGTCTTGGATCAGTTCCTATCTCCATGATAGATCCTGACAAGTTTACAAGGTAATGGTCATATTTATCTCTCAATAATTTTAGTGGACATTGACTCCTGTTTTCATTTCAGTTAATGGTCTTTGATTACTTAATTTCTAATAAACGGGTTTGTTAGAAAAACTATTGTTAGTAGTTCAGGAGTTTATTTTCAGTCCAATATTTTGTCGCCATCTCCTAATCTCTGTTGAGCGACGTTCAAAGTTGCTTAGACTAAGATTCCCTTTCCTCTAGAAAAAAATACCTAAATATATTTTTTATGGGCACTAATTTTATTCAACACCAAAACACACTGAGGTCTATGTATGCAACATCAGTAATACTATTTTCTCATATACATTGTCTATGTGATTTGCTAAACTTAATACTTGGCCAGTATACTCAACTCTAATTACAATGTTGTTGTATTTTTTTAATTTTTTTTGGTATCTGTTAGAGTCTTATGACTTCTATCGGACCTACATTTTAACCTACGTATATCATTAAGTTTTGACCCGAGGATTTGGAAATTTTATAATATTGTAAAATAACCGAATTAGGTATGTACTTTCATGGTTCAAGTACATGTACAAACAACAAGCGAATAAGTAAACAGGAAATACGAATGCGAACATTATTGTATTTGTTAAGATGTTGCAAGAAAGATATTATTTGTGTTTTTTTTTTTACAAACTTTAAGTAGTTCATACGTCTTGTGGCAATAATCGTATAAGCACATTTTATTTTTTTATTAGCTTACACAATATAGTATGTATATATTTTTTATACACATTTTATTTTAGTTATTATTTATATTCGAGATGATAGAAACAAAATAATCGTGAAAAATTTAAGGGTTTTTCTTTATAACTTTATAACTTTTTCCCACTCAAAATATATTTTCAATCTAATTTTCACACTTTGAGTCCCAAAACTATGTTAAAAAAAAAGTTATAAAAAATGAATAAATGCTAATTATTCAGTTAAAACATATTTTTTATTTTTTTAGCATTTTCGCTCGATTTTGAATAGGAAGGCCGCAGGGTCTGATATAGACATTTTAAACCACCAAGAAAAATATCTTTAGGAAGCCGGTTCCCATAAATAAAATAAATACCTCTTGAATGAGTAACAAAACCGATTTTTTATAAAGAAACTATGTTTGAGTTATACCATCACAACTGACCCATAAATGTACCTACCATATTTCAAACTTCAACCCCAATTCGTTTGAGATGCACAAAAGAACCCAAAAAGGCCTACTCAAAAAATATCTGTGCTTTTTTTTATATTTATTTTCTTCTTAACCACATGGCTGCTCCTGCCAATAGTCTAGAAATCGTTCAACATTCCACCTACCTTAACATTGCCAACATTGACTTTTTGTTTTTTTTTTAATAAAAAAATCCTTTTAATCGGGTCATACAAACTGGTAAATCATTCAATCATTCAATAATTAATAATACACATTATAAATGCAGGAAAACATTTTAAGGTAGACCTATGAGGGGAAATACTTTATTTGCTGTCCAACACCAACAAACATGTTACATTTAGTCTAAAAAATGTTGACCGAAATTATTTTCTGTATACCAAGGACTTATGTCAAACTATACAGACTCATGTAATATAAGCAATTGTTTGTACAAAGATTTAACTGGGAGCACTTTAAATTATTTATAGTTTTAGACTGTGGAGCCTTGTTATAATATGTCGATTGAATAAGGTATTCCAGAATAAAGCAGAAAAACCACAAGCTATTTTAGCTAAATATTATACTATAGTTTATTTGAGGACAAAAAACCTTAAAGCACATTTTATTAATTATATATATATATAATATATATATATATATATATATATATATATATATATATATATATATATTCATATATTGTTTATAATTGGTGTACAAAAAGGGGGAAGGGGTGAATTCAAACTATGATCGAGATAAGGTTTTTTTGTCATAACAAAAATCCAAATCCCTAAAAAATGTTTACTGTAATGCAACTAGGAAATGAAATAGTTAAATATATGACTAAGAGTATTCGTCGCTTGTAAGACAGTAGTTGTTTACCAAATAAATGCTTTTGAAAATACACTATTGCAATATACGCAATAATAGTTATGTTATGAATTATCAATGAAATCGAACAACAGGAAATTGGTTATAGTTTATTCAGTCGGTTGACACACATAACGTTGCAAAACAAATATTTGATATTTTGTTTTAAGTTAAAAGTTTTGCGTCATACATGGGTCTTGAAGAAATTGTCCAATATCTCATAGTCGACACACTTTAAGAGTAAATAAAAAAATAGAAGCTTAATACAAAAACACATTTGAAACGGATTTCGTATAGATCTTTGATACTCGAAATTCGTACGAAATAGTAAAATAAAGAATTAAAAAAAGTTCACATCTTCCCATTCAAAAAGTTTACAGCAATTTTCTTTAGAGTCTGTAGCCAAACTTCTTTTTATTGAAGAAAAAAATCACACTTTAAGCCTCAATTTCGGTTCTCAGAGGGTAGTTTTCTATAAACATCATTGTTTTTTTAAAACTTTACACCGCCGGTCACTTCCACCTACTGTTATGACCATTTCCGCCGGTAAGGTATTGAAACGCATTGATCTGCCATTATTTATGTTATGTTTCTAGACACAAAATGTTTACTGAACCACTAAACTTGTTTTTTTTATGTAGCAAGCCTATAGATCACAAAATACTCTCTAAGGGGGGTTTAATCGGACCAAAAATGAAAAAAGGCCCCCATTCGAACATAGAACTACCGATAAAGGTTGACAAGCGAAAAATGATCATAAACCCTCCCCTCCAAGTGAGGTGGATACTTTTTCATTAGATTCGTTAGTTTTTCCAGCAAACTTTTAGGACAGAAGGAAAAGTTCGGTCGAGTCAGAATCGACACTACACCCCGGCATTCGTCCACTCTAAGGGCTATACACTTAGAAAATATACTGTTTTTGTGTACTGTTATTTACACTGATGTTGTTGTTTTTTGCATTATATTTTTCAATCCGCCATTCTTGCCCTACTGCGTATGTTTATTATAAACACCATATAACACATAATGAATAATATTTGATCAATTATTTCACCCAATAGAGTACCTCTGCCAGTTGGAAAAAAGAAATTCATGTGGGTGTAAATAATTTTAGAAAGTAGGTCACAATAATGTGGACCTGCATACTGTCCGAAGCATTATTTTCATTACTGCGTCACAAGTAAAGTTGAACATTTGTGCAAATACACCGAAAACCCGTAAAATAAAAAAAATATTTGTTTTTTGTGAAAAATCATTAATTATTTATGTAAGACTTAACAAACAAACAAACTTGTTTTGGTTGCATTTAACGTCGTACCGAATTGAGTTGTTTGGGTATATAAGTAACCCCAGTTGAACACCTAATCCATACTAGTCTTTTACTTTGGGCACAGCGAGTGTTTGAATTTTGACCAACCCGAAATCTCAGTTCATACATATAGTATTCTATCATGTCGACCCGTTTGTTCAACATGTTCTTGGCGACCCTATTGATATTATTCGTTACGTATAAAACTTAATAACTTTGCAAAAAAAAAAAAGTATTGTTATTTAAAATTTATCTATAATTAATTTTTCTTGAAATTGTTTTTTACAGGCATTGATTGGCAGTATAAACTGCGGTGATGACGATGACAATCCACAGGTAAAGTTTAATTAAAATGATTTTTTTTTTTATAAAAACAATAAGTATTATTTTTAAGAATATATATATAAATGAGTTTAACAATTGATAAAAAGCAAAACATAAATAAATAGAAGTATGGAAATCGTCTTATTCAGACGTTAATGAAGTACATGTCTTAACCGAAAATGGTTTTATTTCTTATAACCAATCAAATTGTTCATAAATAAAAATATTAGCTAATTTTTGGTGGTATAATTATTTGTGAAGATCAAGTAAACATTAGCTCATACCCTTAAATCAAATTAAACTTTAGCTCAGAGACTTATTTTTATTAAATGTAGACTAAAAATGGGATTGTTGTGTAATTAAAAATCATATACATATTATACATGTGTATATTTTTCAGTAAAATATTTCAGCATAAACAATATACTTTTACTTTTTTTTGTATATGTGATAGGAGGGCATAAATCGGTTAAGGTGCCAATTTATTTTTTAAGCTTTTTGTGCAATACATTATTTTGTAGTTGATAGTAAAATTCTAAATTTTTTTTAGTACCGTTATGTTTTTCCCACGATACTAGTAAATTGAATTTAGTCCAAACGTTTATTTTTTATGAATACCATTTATAATAACATTTTTAGACATCAAATCAATTTTTTTATTTTTCCACAAATCAGAAAAATTACTTTTTAAATATTAACATCCATATTAGAAATTATAGTTTAATAACGGAACCACAACCTAAACACATCATAGTTCGTATTTTGCCACTTTGTACAATACCTACTTATTTTAAAACATGTAGCTTAACGGGCCTCGAAGGCGCTAACTGCGATCATGAGATGATTTACAACAAACATAGTGTACCTACATACAAATACGAAATATTAATTAAATTTTGTTTTGTTTACAAACTAGGAAGACCCCAGAACGAAACGTCCTCCGATTACTGCCGACCTGCCAGTAGACATTGTACGTATACTACTTGGTTGATTTTGCTAAAAAAATTCGAATAATAAAAGTATGATTTAAGAATAAAAAATATATAAAACGACTAAATGTATGTTTTTTCAACGGTCATTCTGCACCACTATCTTATAACCGGACCAAAATACAATCTGAACAAATAAGTTTTTTTTTTTTTTTGTAAAAAACCTAAAAAATGTAATTAAATTACAATCTCTTATTGACAAAATAATAGTTACTCCTCAATTTGAATCGTTTCGAGTGTCACGGGACTATTTGGACAACAGTATATTTCTTTGGACGTCTAAACATTTCGAATAATTGTTTTGTTTATTATATTTTTACAGGCCACGCCAGATTATAACCATGGATATGACTATACCCAGGAGAATTCATACCATCGTGACAATAGTGGCTTTGCTTACGGCACTCGTCAACCATATTATCCTCAACAGACCGGAGACTATAACACATACGGTTCACAGTATTACGATGATTAATACAATCAAGTTATATTATTATTTTTTTGCGTGTGCGTTTTAATCATGTAACGATTTACTCAATAAACTATTATCATAAACCTATAAAACACTAAAATGTTTTTATTAATGTGAAAAAAATCCCAGCGGTTTCCGTAGACTCTTGACATAAGAGTACCTAAAATAATTATTATGGTTTCTGCTCGAAATCCTGTGCCGGTATATAGATCTTTATTATCACATACATGTAGGTACATTGTGCGTAGGTATAGAAATCAAAAAAACAGTTTAAAAAAGTATAAGCTGTTCCTGACTGTAGTGTATTGAATAGTTGTTTATACAATGAAATACACACACCTCTTAAAGTGTAAAAAAGACTATTCAGGAATAGAAATATACATTAAATAATTCAAGTTCTGCGTAAGGGTTGAATTGAGATTGAAAATCCCAAGATACAAAGGTCTCACAGTCTAAGTAAATCTAAGTTGTAGTATATAATCAGAAAAATATTTTGCACGAGTATTGTTCAAATATCAACTTGTTTTCATATTAAGGCCCAGGGAAGGCTAATTTAATTGAATATGTACAAAATACGCTGTATTGTTTAATTAAATATCAAAATATTTAAAATATTCGTTATTACTCTTAGTAACTCTTAGTTAGTTCTTTTTAGTTACTTGATAATTTAATGTGTTGTTAATTTTGCACGTTATGTATATTATAATACTAGCTAATTTTTTTATACAACATCGCAAAAAACCTGTCATAAGGGTATCATAGTTTAAACACCCACACATAGACAACTATTAATCACTTATAATTTAACTTAAAATGTAGTTATAATTTATTGACGTGCCCACTGTACCTTAGTCGTAACAACACATTCGCTTTACAGTTGTGTCAGCCTTATTGTATATTGTTTAAAAATGCTCTGGTCCAATTTTATTAAATATCAAAACAATTGAATTTTCCACTAAAAAAATGTATCCAACAATTTTTTTTTTAATGACAAAATATAAAAAACATTCTTATATACCGAATTGTTTTAAGTACATTATTTATTATATTATTTAATTTTTATTCACTGCATCATTTAATATTTTAGTATAATTAAAAGTTTAAAAAAATATGACATTTAAATACATTTTTGAATTATTTGAATGTTGTAATTTACCTTTTATTTAAAATCATTTTTTATTTTAATTATAATTTATTTTGTTATTTGAGCATTTAGCTGAATTATTATTTTCATCTAGATAAATTTTATATTAAAATTATCATTAATACAATGAATTTAGTATATTCTATAGTGTGACTAGTTGACGATATTATACATCTTAATAAATTATATTTCAATAATTATTTGGTTTATACGCATGTTTATTGTGACTCGTTAATTGGATTACTTAAACTATTATATAAAATTAAAACTAACCAAAATAAATACACGCTTTAATTAAAAAAGCTGTCCATTAAAAAAAAATAACAAAAAGGAATTACAAGTGTCATAATTAGAAAAAAAAATCTTGTTGGTATTTATTTGTTAAATTATTTATTTTTGCAAATTTAATAATAATGCACCCATGTAAACATAAAAGATACATATGTAGAGGAGTATGAAATAATATTTAAATAATTATATGATAACAATACTATTAAACAAATCAAATAAATGATAAAATCCAAAATATTGCTTAAACGAAAAATAATATGTGTTTTTTATTCTAATACATTTTAATCATTGCTTAATAACCTTAACTTTTTTAGTAATTTATGAGTTACAATATTTTCATACAATCGTAAACCAGTTATCAGACAACTGTTGCAGTATTTTACGGTATAACTTTGGAAATATTAGATTTTCAGACCTTGTCTTATAATTATGTAAGGTTGGTTGTGTTTTGTCACGACAAGAAATACAATTTTTAGTATAGTATAATTATTTTTACGGTTAATAATATAATAGAATATAAGTGAAGTGTAAAGAACCGATGGTAAAATACCATCACGTCCCAGATATGTTGTTAAACATAAAAAATTTAAATAGATATTAATACATGTATATTTTTATTTAAATACAAAAACGAGTATTTGAATGCTTGTATCCGGTCACTTACGATAAAATACAATCGCCTTGTTTTTCTTTTTTCGGCGAGCCATACCGCAAACGTTCTATAAAAAACTCTTTGTTCTAAAACAATATTTTTTAAATTAATTTTCTTGATATTTATTTAAGTAAATATTAAATTGTATTTATTATATCAGATTTAAGTCCATTATTTTTTTTTTACAATATATCGAGCACTCAAATATTAGTAGTTTTTAGGTAAGCTTAGTTTTAGAAAATCTAGTGTTACATTTATAATAGTAGAAAGCCGGTTTAAATAACAATTACCGTCAACCCTAAACTAATATTATAATATCATTGTTTAATAGAACAGAAATTAATTCAAATATGTTTTAAGAACTATGACCAAAAACCGAAAATGTGCATCGAATACATCCCAGGGCTGCTCTACTTTTATAAATTTTTAAGATATAATACTGTGTTGAAGTACCTCACGAATGAACGCATCATATTCGGCTTGTTTCTTCGCCTTATCTTCTGCTAAAAAATAAATACAACAAAATCATAGGTATATCAATCGTTGAGTAGAAGTGCGTTTTTTATTGAGTATCACAAATCATTATAAATATGGTAAAAATAATATTTTTTTCGAAATTTATGTTAAAACTCAATTAAATACTAACCAACGCTATCAGTCTGTGGGTGATTATCTGTTACGGGTTCGTGGTCCAGGCTCATAATATTCTTGCCTTTCTAAATTTATATTAATATATAAAGAAGTATTTAAGTACAAATATTTTTTTCTGACATATTTTAAGTTCCAAGAATTATACACTATAAGATAACAATACTAGATAATAACTTATATGCCAAATAATAGTGTATATAGTTAATGGTTTACAGTCAGCGTAGCCACTTTTCATCGCTTAATATTTAAAAATTATGTACTCTAAAATTAATTGCCTACCAAAATCGTGTGATTTACACTGCCTTTACATCTGTTTATGATATAAAAATAAATATGAATTACCTCATTCTGGTAGTCATCATCTTTGGCATCATCAACCTTATCTTCCGCTAAAAATGTTTTAACGAATTCAACAAAATCTTGTACCAATCGTTGCATACATGTGCGCTTTTTTATTTTTATACTTTTCAATTGTATTAAGTACCAAATAAATATAAAACGGTATAACAGACAGCTTTATCGAAATTTGTACTTAACATTATTACTTACCGTTTTGATTTATTTTTGGTTCTTCACTTTTTAGGCGTTGAAGACTTTGATTTTTTTTTTCATATATTTCAGCTACCTATAATGTTATTATTATATTTATAATTATTTAAATAAAAAAATGTTTCCAATGAAATATTTTAATACCTATTTTAGTATATTTTTACCAACTTTTGTATATTAGTAATAATGCTAGTGAATGACCTATCAGCCAATGAATAGTGTATGTAGTTATTAATCTACAGTCAGAGTAGCCACTTTTTATCGCTAATCATTTAAAATTGATCTACTCTAAAATATCTCTTACTCTGAAAATTTTGAAATTTTAATATTGACATAGCGCATTGAATACATTTTAAACATACATTTGTTTAAAAAAATTAACGATTTTTAATTCCTATTTCAAAAACTATTTTATTAAAACACATTTTTTTATTATTTAAAATAACCTTAGGATTCTCGACTTTAATGTTTATTTTATTTAAAATTTAAATTAGTATGGCATTTTTCAAATTCAATAATTTAAATGATCTAAGAACAATTTTGTATAAGTTAATTAACTAATTTAAATACATATATATAAAATTGTAATTCTTATCAGTTTTTATTTATGAACATGGTAATTTTTAATTAAAAACTGGATTAAATAACCATTAGTGTCATCCTTAAATTAATAAAAGGCACTAAAAATTCGTTAATAAAACAGAAAATATTTTCAAATCTCTTAAAAAAATATAACCAAAAGCCAAAAATTTGCATCCTCTTGTAGTTAGTTTATAGGTAAGTTTAAGTTTGGTAAAAAGTTTTTTATTTATATTTTTTTACAAATTTGATTTATAGAAAACCGAATTAAATAAATTTTACTGTCAGCCCTAAATTAAAAAGTCTGTTTAATATAAAATATTAAGTATATGGATTACCTTACTGTGGTACTCAGCATTGTTTTCCTGAAAAAAATGCATTAAACATAAAATATACATTTGTTTTATATTCATTTTAATTTTAAACATATATTGTTTTTTAAAATGTTTAAAAATGAAATGTAGTAATATGTGAGTTGCATCATTTTTTCATATGTTTAGGAAAAAAAGTTTCTCACCTTTTCCAGGTCCTTAACAGCGTTCATCTTTAAAATAAAGAATTAAACATTAAATTATATTAACATTTGTTTTAAGTCCATTATTATATTTAACATACATTATTTGTTTAAATTATTAAACAATTTTTCAGCTTTAATATAGTAGTCATGTAGTTACGATAACACTTTTTCATATGGGTTTTTATAGTACCCTCGGGGGGTACTAAGTAATTAGTACTACGGATTTGGCGAGCCCGGGGCCCCGAGCCTCACACTGACTTTAATTAGTTAGTGTGGACTAGTCTGCCAGGTTGGGGGTTGTGCGTAGGGCCGACAACCTTACTACATAAAAAAAGTAAATATTAGGAAACATCAGCATTTTAAGCATCGGATGAAAGTGATAACGGATTTACAAATCGGAGTTTGGAACGTGCGATCGTTGTTTAGGGCTGGAGCTTTGACGACATCTCTATCGTGTCTTGAGCGATATGAGATGGATATTACTGCTATTCAAGAAGTGAGATGGACAAGTTTAGGGAGCTTGAAGTCTCAAAGAATGACTCTATTTTACAGCGGTGGGGACAAACACGAACAAGGTGTAGGATTTGTAGTAAAAGAAAATGTACTACCACGAATTACAAATTTCATTATTATAAATGATCGTCTATGTTACATAGAGCTTAAATGTAAGTGGCACAATATGATTCTAATTAACTGTTTCCCCCCACTGAAGACAAAAATGAGGAAATAAAAAATGAGTTCTATGATAGTTTAGACATGCTGTACGATTCTCTATCAGCTGATAAACCGAAATAATAATCGGAGATTTTAATGCAAAATTTGGAAAAGAAACGATGTATAAACCAACAATTTGATCTGAAAGCTTACATGAAGAATCTAATGACAATGGAAATAAGTTGATCTCATTTGCAGCTGCTAGGAATATGACTGTAAGTACCACATGTTCCCTCACAAGAATATTCATAAACAAACATGGATTTCACCATGTGGATATGTAAGAAACCAAATAGACCACATAATAGTTGATTCACGAATTAAGTCTTGTGTAAGGGATGTAAGAAGCATGAGAGGGAGTAGCGCTATATCGGATCATTTCCTCGTAAGAGCAAAAATGGCTATCAGAATATCAACAAAACGGCGAAAAAAACAGAAATACAAAGAGAAAGTAAATAGGGATGCACTGAAAACACCAATAGCTAAAGTATATCAAGAAAAGATAATGTTGAAATTACAGAATATACAAGAAAGACCAAATATAAGTGAAACATGGAAAGAAGTAGAACAAATAGTAAAAACCATAGCTGAAGAAGTATTTGGGTACATACCAGGAAAAACAAGGAAAATGTGGTTTAATGAAGAATGTAAAAGGGCTCTACATGAAAAAGATAGAGCTCGCATGAAAGTGCTACATGAACCCAAGGAAGATAACAAAAGATTGTTAGCACTTATACAAAGAGACGCAAAAAAGGTGATTAGATTGAATAAGAGACTGTGGGAAAAAAAACGCATACAAACTATAGAAAATGATAGAAATAGCCATTCGAAAATATTTTTTTGGGAAAGCAAATGAAGTAAGACATGGTAACAAATCCAGACCAACGGTTATGAGAAAAAGTAAAGGAACGCTTCTAACAGGCAATAAAAAAATCGCATGCGAATTCAAAAATATTTTTGCAAAGCTTTTAAACTAGTCAAGAATTAATATTACTGTAAACGAGCTAACGACAGTAGAATAACTACTCGAAAAACCATCAAAAAGTGAAGTAGAAACGAGATTAAATATGCTTAAGAATAGTAAAGCACCAGGTGAAGATGAAATAGCATCGGAATGTTTAAAAAAGGGTGGTCCATGCTTACTGAACCAGCTTCATAAATTAATAAACATAATCTGGGAACAAGAGGAAATACCCGAATCGTGGCGAGTCTCTGTCATATGTCCTGTTTTTAAAAGGGGAGATGTCACGGACTGTGGGAATTATAGAGGAATCTCTCTACTCAACACAACTTAAAAGATTCTGTCTAATATACTTCTGATCAGAATCAATCCATTTATTAAAGAAATAATAGGAGAATATCAAGCTGGATTCATGATTGGGAGATCAACAGTTGATCAAATTCATATAGTTAAACAATTAGCTGAGAAAAGTCACGAGTTCAATAAAGATGTACACCGTATGTTCATCGATTACAAAGCAGCATACGATTCGATTAATAGAGAAAAACTATGGAATGTCATGAGCCAAATGGGAATACCAGCAAAATTAGTCAAAATGATAAAAGCATGTACATATGAATCCAAAAGTAAAGTAAGTTTTGGAGGAGAGGTATCAGATGAGTTCCCAGTAATGACAGGAATCAGACAGGGAGACGCGCTATCGGCAGCTCTGTTTAATATCGCATTAGAATCAGTAATGCGAAAGGTATTAATCCAAGCAAAAGGAATAAAAATGGACAACAATAATGAATTAGCCGTAGAAGCTTTCGCTGACGATATAGCCCTTATAGCCGAAACAGAAAATGAACTGAGAAATACAACTAGCATCCTACTAAGTGAAGGTAAAGAAATTGGTCTGAAGATAAATGAGTTCAGAGCTTCAAGTATCTAGGGGCAGAGATCAATGAAAATGTTAATAGCCATGAAGAAGTTAAAAAACGACTTATGGCAGCAAGTAGATGCTATAATAGTCTAATGTCACTATTCAAATCAAGATTACTATCAATTAAGTCTAAAATAACGTTATATAAAGTCATAATTGAACCAATTGCTCTATATGCATGTGGTACATGGGCCACGACAAAATCGGACGAAGGAAAGTTAGGAGTGTTTAAAAGAAAGATATTAGGGAAAATTTTCGGTCTAAAGAGAAATAACGATGGAGAGTATGAAATAAGAAACAACGAAGAAATGGATAATCTCTATAACGAACCTACCATTATTGGGTCCCTGAAGAGCACAAGGATAAGTTGGGCGGGGTACGTATGGAGATCAGAGGGAATGATTGGATGAATAACTAAATGGAAACCCGACACTAAGAGACCTAGAGGATGCCCTAGACAGAGATGGATGGATAGAGTACAAAAATACTTGAAACTTCTGAACGTAAGGAACGCAGAAGAATATGCAAACGATAGAGAGAGCTGGAGACAATATGTTGTTGCGGCAACGGGCCTTAAAGGACTGTAAAAGCCCAGAAGAATGAGATACGTGAGGAAGGTAAGATGATTGTCTTAAATTAGGTATATCATCCTGTATAAAGAATATTAGCCTAAACTAAAATAAAAAATTAAACCACCACAGTCTAAGCCAAGCACTATCAAATCCAGCACAGTCTAAACAAACTTCTAAAGAACAAGAGGGATTATATTATGTCTAAAAATAGTTTTAAAATTGGCACGCCTAATATATTTTTGATTAAAATGTTCAGAGCATTTTTTATGAATTTATAGCACATACCTTTGAAATATGAAAAAATGCAGTCCTATTAATTGGAAAGTTGGTCTCTATTTACTTTTCCAAATTTTACACCTCCCCCAATACGCAAACTAGAAACAATAATTACTGATCAAGAAAATAAATCGGTGGCTTTGAAGTTAAATACAGACAAAAAAAAAAATTGATATGCTTTGCACTGAAATTTAAATTACTATGTAGAAAATAAGCATATCAAATGTATTCAACATAATCGAATGAAATATAAAAAAAAATATTTATTACGTTCCAATCAAAACATTTTTGTTAAAGGATTATTCGGTAGGTTCGAGGACAAATATTATCATTAAAGTACAGATAATCTTACAATACCAAAGTATTATTTTTTTATCTTGTATTAAGACTTATGACTAAAGAAAAATAACCGATAAATTATTAATTAAACCAAGTGAGATATTGAGAGCCCACGATAAAAAAACACCCTGTAGGAAATTTTATTCGAATAATGTACTTATTCGAAAACATCAAACAATATGTATATCGTTTACCATGATTTTTTTTTTTATCTCATATTAAAATTTTAGACACAAGCAACAAAAAATGATCACGTACAATATACGTTTTAAACCAAGTGTTATACGGACTATGTAGAAACAGTTGTATTAAAGTATGACGCAAAAGATAATGTTATTTGTAAAACATTAAAACGATACAAGTTTTTAAAAAATAAAACACTCATGTAAATTGGAACTTAATCATAATATTCATATGTTCATATGAATATTATCAACATAGAATATGTTCATATTCTTACTATTTATATTATTTATATTATTTTATAATTGTAGAGTACTCATATGAAATTCCTTATTTAACATCTTAAGTTAGTTTAAACCTAAAATAACAATAATTTTATATATGTTTAAGATAAAATATTAAATATGAATTACCTCTTCGTTGCACACATCTTCTATCGCTTGTATCACCTTAAACACAAAGTATGAAATATAAAATTATCACTTGTATTAAGTCCATTTTAGTTTTTAACATAATATACCAAATGTTTATAATTCAAATTGTAATTATGGTTACATTTTAGCTTCGATGCAAAGCGAGAAGGTATTGGTTTTACTTTGATGTGGACTTTTTTTTTATCTGTATACACTGTAACTTTTTTTATACTGGACCAATTCCTTCGAATAGCAACTCTATAAATCACAAATTTTATCTAGTTGGTACTTTGAAGAGGGTAAAAGTTGAAAAAGTTTACTTCTTCACAGACGAAATTTTAAAAAACAAAAAAAAACCGTACGAGTTTTTAAGTTAGAACTTTTACTGGCTATAATTTCGAGAGAAAAAGTTGGATCAAGTTGAAATTTATTTGGGATATTTAATTGGTATGCCCGCACATGTCAGTTGTATCAAATTTAAACTATACCCATTTCCAACCGCCCTAGGGGGGGGGTACAAGTTTTTTTGCCGTAATTTTAAGACTTTTGGGTTGAAAATTTGCCAGTAGTTGGAACTCATATGTATCCATAACATATTAAACGGAAAAAAAATTCGGCACTACAGTTTTTTTTAATTGCCGGAAAACTGTGTTTTTGCAGATTGCGTATGTTTTAACAAAACCACCTAAAATCTTTAAAACAAATTTATCAAATCATTAAAACAATTTTATGTATATCTATGCAGAATGATACTATTAAGTTTTGTGCTCAAGTACCACTTTTGATTTTAAGTTTACACAAATTCAATTTTTTTTTTTTTTTACTTAAGTTCTTTCTGGCTGATTAAAATTGAGAATTGATATTTGCATATTGTTATACTGTTATTCATTTAAAGATTGAATGTTGCTTGATTGTTTAAATTGTCTAATATTAGATAATTTGCTTCGTGCTATTTTTAATTTTTTAGTTTATCAACTTGTAGCTCTAATTTTGTATAAAATATTTTATTATTTTATTACTATGTTCAAATTAAGATATATTTTAATAATAATTAAGACATGAATGATAATAATTTTTTTTTTGACTAGATCAAATCTCGTGAACATTTAACATCATGATACTGCTCCTATACTATTATTGAAAAAACACAATTTTTAAAATCTCCATAAAAGGTTATTGTTAAATAACAGGCAACAGCCGACCGCTAGTGGCTATACACGTTAGTAATATTTAACTAATAAGTAATATATGTAGGTAAAATTCATTGTTTCATTGTTTTCTCAATCACAGTACCAGTATACGATTTATTTTAATTCAAATGTAAGAAAATCAATTTTTCTTTAGAAAATAACAAGAAATTAATATACAGAGTGGGACAGTAAAACGGCGATTTTCTAATGTATTTAAATGGGAAAACCCGTTTCACTATCCCACCCTTTACATTTTAATGATCTATGAAAAGGTTTTTTTAGTTGCATTTTATTTTGCACATTGTCAATCTAGTAAAATAGAAGTATAATATAGCTTTGAAATAATATAATCTATGAAGTATAAATAGTTTGTGTGAGATTGCTCTGATGGAAGTATATAATACATAAATATTAATTCTATTGAGAATACGCGATTATAATTTAAACTATGGAGTACAAACGATTGAAACATGAATCGTCGACCATTGCAACAAAATTTAACAAGACATTGTGTATGTGTTATTTGGGCCACTACGTTTTTGCAAAAAAAAAAACAGTACAGTGGGGTAGGTGCATAGTGGGGACGGGGAGGTCACAGCCCAAGCAAAAATTTCTGTACTATGCCAGTGTTAACGACAGGCGCAGTACTGGCTGCCCACAGTTGGCTGGCCCGTACTGACGTAGTACTGGCCTAAGCGTTGTCTTAGTACTGACCCAGTACTGGTTGGCCAGTGCTGGCTGCCAACTTTACGCCATTACTGGCATTACAAAAACTACAGTACTGGCTAGCCCGGGTTCGGCAGACTTGTGCCAAGCGTTGGCTGAGTATTGGCGCAGTACAAGATAACATATATTTAAGTTTTTTTAGATATAGATAATATTTACTATACCTAAGACTCCGAAGACCTAGGTCTGGTTAGAAAAACATGAAGTGATAAAATGTGTTTTAATGTGTTTAATTAAATGCAAATCTTAGAATCTAACCTATCTAAAGACTGTAAAGTAGAAAACAAAGTGTGATACTTAAAAATTATCTAGTTTTCTAATTAGTTTTAATTATTAATTGTATTAAAATTAAAATGTTTAAATACTATTGAAGAAAAAAATACTAATGAGGTACCTAACTGTTGTATTAAATACTTTTATAAAAATATTTATTTTTATTTGTATTAATTTGTTAAATTTATAAATACTTTAATCTTTATTATCATTAAAATTGTTTTTATTAAAAGAGGTACTTAATTCAAATATCAAGTACAACCTGCTTTGAAAATATTTATTTTAAGCGGTCTCATTGTGTCCTACGACATACTTTGAATATTTTTAAAAAAAGTGTTCTAATATAAAATGTGCTTCAGTTATTCAATTTATTAATATATATTAGAAAAACATTGCGCAAGTACTGCGCTATTATTCTGCCAGTATAAAGTTATTTATAATGCCAGTACTGTGCCATTACTGCGCCAGTATTGCGCCAGTACTGCGCAATTATTATACCAGCATAAAATCTGTACCGATTATCAGTATTGGGCCAGTGCTGGCTGTCAATACAGAATAGCGTTATCATTTGGGAGTTACGCCAGTACGGGCGCAGTACAGTACTGCGCCCTTGGTAAATTTCTGCTTTGGAGGTTTACAGGAATTTTTAAATCTGAAAGTGATAAAATCACTTTCGAAAAAGCGCTTCGATGCAAATAGGTAGTTAGTATTTTCAAGCCAGTACAGTCCAAACCAAGCACAGTATAAACCAGCAAAGTTAGAAAGTTTTAAATTAAGGTTCTGTATTTACAAATGAGCATCAAAGCATTTATTTGAAAGTGATTTTATTCAATTTTATCACTTTTATTTATAATAATTCCTGTAGACCTGTGACCTCTCCATTTCCTCATTGCTTTGAATACATTATGGCTATACTCTACTGTACTAGTCCTCTCGGATAAAATCACTTTCAAATTAACGCTTTGATGCTCATTTTTAAGTACAGAACCTTCATTAAAACTTTTTAACTTTGCTGGTTTATACTGTGCTTGGTTTGGACTGTACTGGCTTGAAAATACTAACTACCGATTTGCATCGAAGAGTTTTTTCGAAAGTGATTTTATCACTTTCAGATTTAAAAATTCCTGTAAACATGTGACCTCCCCGTCCCCACTATGCCCCGTCCCCACTGTACTGGTTTTTTTTAATAAAACTATTAATTATATAATATTATAAAATATCGCTCACCTTCTGTTTCTCTGTTAGTGTAGAATCGGTTTGTTTTAAAAAACAAATTATTAAACACAACGCAAAAACTTGTTTTGCATGCATAATAAACATTTTTAATTATTCAATACTTTTTAAAAATTCTTAAAAATGTTTTTAACTGAAATGTAGTATATAAAGACAACGAAAAGAAATAACGTGTATCTATAAAGTAAAACCAGAGTCTACAAAATATGCTTTAAACAAACCAAAACAAAATGTGTTTTACCAAACCTTAAAGTTTTGCTACGTAAATGTGTCGAGTGGGTATATATCAGTGAGGCCACAGTTGTATTTACACACAGTTTTATATTGTTCTAAAATGTTTATATATGTTGTGTATACATTTCAAATATCTACATTATAATAAATATTTTTTAACATTTACTAGAACCTATGATTAACATAATAAAACCTTTAAATCCCATTATTAATCTAATTACTTCTCCATGATCTTTATTGGACAAGTCTAGCGCTTACTTTATAATTATTCAAGTCTTGGTGTAATTCCTATAATACCCATTACAATATTAGGATTAAATATCATTAGTATACGGTGGTATTTTAGCATTGTATCAATTCAAATAATATTATTTCCCTACTAACGGCTTTAAGTGACACGCTAGAATTGAGGAGTTGTGTATACAATGAAGTGCACATGCCACTTAAAGTGTTAAAAAGTCTAGTCAGGAATAGAAATCTATTAAAAAGTTCAAGTTTGGCATAAGGGACGAATTTAGATTGAATATTCCAAGAGACAGAGGTAAATCTGAGATGTAATACATAAACAAAAAAAAACATTGTGCACGTGTATTGATCTAATATAAACTTGTTTGCATATAAAGGACAGGAACGGCTAATTAATTGAATATTATTTACAAATCGTTACGCTGTTTTTGTTTAATTTAATATCAAAATATTCTTTATTACTATTTCTAACTTAGTTACCTATTTGATAATTAAATGTAATACTAATTTGGATGTATATTATACAGGTAATACTAGTAATATTTTTTTACCACATCGCAAACTATTTTACAGTCGTGTCAGTCGTATTGATTATCGTTTAAAAATGCTCTGCTCCAATTTTATTAAATATCAAAACAATTGAATTTTCCACTAAAAAAATTTATCCAACAATTTTTTTTTTAATGACAAAATATAAAAACATTCTTATATACCGAATTGTTTTAAGTACATTATTTATTATATTAATTCATTTTTAATCACTGTATCATTTAATATTTTAGTATAAATACAAATTTTAAATAAATATGACATTTAAATTCATTTTTGAATTATTTAAATGTTGTAATTTACCTTTTATTTAAAATCATTTCTTATTTTAATTATAGTTTATTTCGTTATTTGAGCATTTAGCTGAATAATGTTTTTCATCCAGATAAATTTTGTATTTAAATTATCATTGATACAATGAATTTATTACGCTCTATAGTGTGACTAGTTGACGATATTATACATTTTAATAATCTATATTTCAATAATTATTTGGTTTGCATACATGTTTATTGTTACTCGTTAATTAGATGACTTAAACTATTCGATGGTTCGTTAATTAATACATGAACTATATTACATTTGACTAAAGAACAAAAATTATTATAAAAATACGATATCAATAAAAATATAAAATTAAATTTAAATTAATCAAAACAAATACACGCTTCAATTGAAAAAGCTGTTCATTAAATAAAACCACAAAAAAGGGATTACAAGTGTCATTACTAGAAATAAAAACCATTGTTTGAATTTATTTGTTAAACTTTTTATTTTTGCAAATTTAATAATAGTGCACCCATGTAAACATAAAAGATAAATATGTAGAGTATTATAAAATGATATTTAAATAATCATATTATAACAATAATATTAAGCAAATTAAATATATTATAAAATCCAAAATATTGCTTAAAAGAAAAAAATATGTTTTTTTTATTCTAATACATTTTAATTATTGTTTAATAACCTTAAATTTATTAGTAATTTATGAGTTACTATTTTTTTGATATTTCTTAATTTAATTGGGGAGTTTTTCATACAAACCTAATCCAATTAACAGATAGGTAGCTGATACAGTATTTTACGGTGTAACTTTGAAAATATTAGATTTTCAGACCTTGTGTTATAATTATGTAAGGCTGGTTGTGTTATTTTTTTCACGACAAGAAATACAATTTTTTTTATAATATAATTATTTTTACGGTTAATAATAAAATAGAATATAAGTGAAATGTAAAGAAACGATGGTGAAATGCCATCATGTCCCAGTTATGTTAATATACATACACAAATTAAATAGGTATTAGTATATGTATATTTTTATTTAAATACAAAAATTAGTATTTGTATGCTTGTATCCGGTCACTTACGATAAAATACAAACGTCTCTTTTTTCTTCTTTCGGCAATCTATGCCGCAAACGTTCTATAAAAAACTCTTTATTCTAAAACTGTATTTTTAAATTAATTTTCTTGATACTTACCAACGCCTCTAGTCGGTGGGTGATTATCTGTTTCGGGTTGGTGGTCTGGGCTCATAACATTTTTGCCTTTCTAAAATAATTTTAGTATATTAAGAGGTATTTCAATACAAATATTATTTTCTGACATATTTTAAGTTTCAAGAATTATACACTATAAGATAATAATACTAGATAATAACTTATATGCCAAATAATTGTGTGTATAGTTATTGGTTTACAGTCAGCGTAGCCACATTTTAGCGCTTAATATTTAAAAATGATGTACTCTAAAATTAATTTTCTACCCAAATGGTGTGATTTGTACTACCTTTACATCTGTTTATGTTATAAAACTAAATATGAATTACCTCATTCTGGTGATCATCATCTTTGGCATCTTTAGCCTTATCTTCTGCTAAAAAAAATGTAATGAATTTAACAAAATCGTGTACCAATCGTTGCGTAGAAATGCAATTTTTAATATGTATCACAAATCATTATAAATATGGTAAAATAAGATTTTTTTCGAAATGTATGTTAAAACTCAATTAAATACTTACCAACGCTATCAGTCGGTGGGTGATTATCTGTTTCGGGTTGGTGGTCTGGGCTCATAACATTTTTGCCTTTCTAAAACAATATTATAATATTAAGAAGTATTTAAGTACAAATACTATTTTCTGACATAATTTAAGTTTCAAGAATTATACGCTATAAGATAATATTACTAAGTAATAACTTGTATGCCAAATAATAGTGTTTACATTATTGGTTTACAGTCAGCGTAGCCACTTTTCGGCGCTTAATATTTAAAAATGATGTACTCTAAAATTAATATCCTACTCAAATGGTGTGATTTGTACTAATTTTACATCTGTATATGTTATAAAACTAATTATGAATTACTTCATTCTGGTGATCATCATCTGTGGCATCTTCAACCTTATCTTCTGCTAAAAAAAATGTAATGAATTTAACAAAATCGTGAACCAATCGTTGCGTAGAAATTCAATTTTTAATATGTATCACAAATCATTATAAATATGGTAAAAATAAGATTTTTTTCGAAATTTATGTTAAAACTTAATAAAATACTTACCAACGCTATCAGTCGGTGGGAGATTATGTGTTACGGGTTCTTGGTCTAGGCTCATAACATTCTTGCCTTCCTAAAATGATAATAATATATTAAGAAGTATTTAAGTACAAATATTATTTTCTGGCATAATTTAAGTTTCAATTATTATACACTATAAGATAATAATACTAGGTAGTAACTTGTATGCCAAATAATAGTGTTTACATTATTGGTTTACAGTCAGCGTAGCCACTTTTCGGCGCTTAATATTTAAAAATTATGTACTCTAAAATTATTTTTCTACCCCAATTGTGTGATTTGTACTACCTTTACATCTGTTTATGTTTTAAAACTAAATATGAATTACCTCATTCTGGTGATCATCATCTTTGGCATCTTCAACCTTATCTTCTGCAAAAAAAAAATGTAATGAATTCGACAAAATGGTGTACCAATCGTGCGTAAAAGTGCACTTTTTACGAAGTATCACAAATCAATATAAATATGGTATGAATAATTGTTTTTTGGAAATTTATGTTAAAACTCAATTAAATACTTACCAACGCTATCAGTCGGTGGGTGATTATCTGTTACGGCTTCGTGGTCTAGGCTCATAACATTTTTGCCTTTCTAAAATGATATTAATATATAAAGTATTTAAGTTCAAATATTATTTTCTGACATAATTTAAGTTTTAATAATTATACACTATAAGATAATAATACTAGATAATAACTTGTATGACAGCTTATAGTGTGTGTAGTTATTGGTTTACAGTCAGCGTAGCCACTTTTCGTCGCTTAATATTTAAAAATGATATACTCTAAAATAAAATGCCTACCTAAATTGTGTGATTTGCACTACCTTTAAATCTGTTTATGTTATAAAACTAAATATGAATTACCTCATTCTGGGAGTCATCACCTTTGGAATTTTCAACATTATCTTCTGCTAAAAAAAAATAAAAAATTCAACAAAATCGTGTACTAATCTTTGCCTACTTGTGCGCTTTTTATTTTTCTATCGTATAGAGTACCAAATAAATATAAAATGGTAGGAGAAACTCTTTTATCGAAATTTGTATTTAAACTTATTACTTACCATGGAGATTAATTTGTGGTTCTTCACCTTCTAGGCGTCGAAGACTTTGCAATTTCTTTTGAAGTATTGACGTTCCCTATAATGTTATTAACATATGTATAGGTAATTATTTAAATAAAAACAAAGACATTTTTTATGAAAATTGTAATTCATATCAGTTTTTATTTAAGTACATTAAAATTTTTAGTGAGGAAACCGACTTAAATAACCATTAATGGCATCCTTAAATTAATGAAAGGCACCAAAAGATCGTTAATAAAACAGAAAATATTTTTAAATAGTTTAAATAATAATAACCAAAATCCAAGAATGTGTATTTACTTGTAGTTAGTTTGTAGGTAAGTTTAATTTTGATAAAAAGTTTTTAATTTATATTTTTTTACAATTTTGATTTATAGAAAACCGAATTAAATAAATTTTACTGTCAGCCCTAAATTAAAAAGTCTGTTTAATAAAAAATATTAAATATATGGATTACCTTACTGTGGTACTCAGCATTGTTTTCCTGAAAAAAATGCATTAAACATAAAATATACATTTGTTTTATATTCATTTTAATTTTAAACATATACTGCTTTTTTATATTTTTAAAATGAAATGTAGTAATACGTGAGTTGCATCATTTTTTCATATGTTTAGGAAAAAAAGTTTCTCACCTTTCTCAGGTGCTTAACGGCGTTCATCTTTAAAATAAAGAATTAAACATTAAATTATAGTAACATTTGTTTTAATTCCATTATAATATTAAACATATAATATTTGTTTAAATTATTAAACTATTTTTCAACTAAAATGTGGTAGTCATGTAGTTACAATTACACTTTTTCATTTGGGTTTTTATAGTACATTTTAAAAAATAACTTAAATAACCTTTACCTCCTGCTTATCTATAAGTGTAGGAGCGGTTTGTTAAAAACAAAAGAAACTCTTTAACATTAAAAAAAAACTTGTTTTGCATGCATAATCATTTTATAACTATTTAATAGTTTTTAAAAAGTTTTAAAAATGCTTTCTAACTAAAATATATACAGGGTTATCCATCTGATGTGAGACACTCAAAAAATATAATATTCTGAAAAATCATCATTCTTTTATACTTATAGGTACATATTTTTCAATTCGTTTAATAGTTATTTATATAGGTTAAAGACATAAAACAATTACGGATTTGTTTTTTTTGTAAATAGAAAAACACGTTTTTAAATCCCTAAATTTAAAGTTAAAACAATTTTAAAAAATTTTGATTTATAGGAAACTAGTATAAATAAACTTTACAGTCAGCCCTAAATTAAAAAATCTGTTTAATATAAAATACTAAATATACGGATTACCTTACTGTAGTACTCAGCATTATTTTCCTGCAAAAAATGCATTAAACATAAAATATTCTTTAAATTCATTTTAATTTTAAATATATATTGTTTTTTTAAATTTTTAAAAACTGTTTTCAAATAAAATGTAGTAATATGTGAGTTGTATCATTTTTTCATACGTTTAGGAAAAAAATTGAATTATAGATTACCGATCTCTGGTGCTCAATGACGTTCATCTTTAAAATAAAGAATAAAACATTAAATTTTATTAACATTTGTTTTAAGTCCATTATAATATTTAACATTCATTATTTGTTTAAATTACTAAACAATTTTTTAACCAAATTGTAGTAGTTATCTAATTACGATTACACTTTTTTATATGGAATTTATAGAACATTTTCAAAAATTACTTAAATATCCATTACCTCCTGCTTTTCTATGAGTGTAGGAACGATTTGTTAAAAACAAAACCAACTATGTAACATAACAAAAAAACTTGTTTTGCATGCATAATCATTTTAAAATTATAAAATAGTTTTTAAAAAGTATTAAAAATGCTTTCTAACTAAAATATATACAGGGTTATCTATCTGATATAAGACACTCATGATTTCAAAAAAAAAATAATATTCTGAAAATCATCATTCTTTTATACTTGTAGGTACATATTTTAATATATTTTTCAATTCGTTGAATAGTTATTTATAAGGGATAAAGACATAAAACAAGTACGGATTTGTTTTTTTGTAAATAGAAAAACATGTTTTTAAATCCAAAAATATCTAGTAAAAAAATATAAAAAATATGAGGGTATTTTTTAAAAATGTTTGTCAATCTGTTGGTTTGCTATTTCTTTGCAGAGATATTATACATACTGTTAACCATATACAATTAAATGTTTTGTGATAATGATATACAAAAGGACCTTATCCACCTATTCAAACTGAGAAATGACAACATTGTTATCGATATGTTGTATGATAACATTTAACGGGAAATCATTGTGCTGCTGTTGTAAAAACGGAGTTCGTATTTACAAAATTTAAAACATATCTTCCTTTTTGACTACATGATGTCAATACTTCTCGTTGTATTACCTTACTGTAGTACTCAGTGTTATTTTCCTGAAAAAAAAAATGTATTAAACATAAAATATACATTTGTTTTAAAATCATTTTAATTTTAAACATATAATGTTTTTTTTTATATTTTTAAAAAGTGTTTTCAAATAAAATGTAGTATTATGTGAGTTACAACATTTTTTCATATGTTTAAGAAAAATAATTTAATTATAGATTACCGATTTCTGGTGCTCAATGGCGTTCATCTTTAAAATAAAGAATTTAACGTTAAATTATATTAACATTTGTTATAATTCCATTATAATATTTAACATACATTATTTGTTTAAATTAATTTTACTATATAAAGTCCATACTTCTCTTATGTATATGTGAGAAAGGTAAGATGATTGCCTTAAATTAGGTAAATCATCCTGTATAAAGAATGTATTTTTTAGAAGTTGAATTTTGAGAGTAATGTTTTCAAAGTTATAACTAAAACTTTTTGTCTATGTTATACCAACGTTTGCTAAAGTAATGAGTGTATTATGAGTGATATGTAATACTTACGTATTACATATCATATACCTGTATACCTGTGTATACCTGTATTTGTTTTAACTAAAACACCGCTAAGTTAAAAAGCTACGACAGCTGCGTCGTAGACCAATGATGACATACACTATTGGGCTCGTGTGTGCAGAACCTGACAATCCTAAACTAAAATAAAAAATAAAACCACCACAGTCTAAGCCAAGCACTATCAATTCCAGCACAGTCTACACAAACTTCTAGTGAACAAGGGGGATAATATTATGTCTGAAAATAGTTTTAAAAAATGGTACGCCTAATATATTTTTTATTAAAATGTCCACTCGATCAGAGCATTATTCATGAATTTATAGCACATAGCTTTGGTATAGTCTTAACAATTTTTGTATATTAGATAATAATGCTAGTGAACGACTTATAAGCCAATGAATAGTGTATATAGTTATTAATCTACAGTCAGAGTTGCCACTTTTTATCACTAATCACTTAAAATTGATTTACTCTAAAATATTCAAGTTTTGAAACTTGAATATGGACATAGCGCATTGAATAAATTTTAAATGTATATATATACTTGTTTAAAAACATTAACTATTTTTTATTTCTTTTTTAAAAACTATTTTATTCAAACACATTTTTTATCATTTAAAATAACCTTGGGATTCACGACTTTAATGTTTATTTAATTTAAAATTTAAATTAGTATGGTATTTTTCAAATTTAATTATTTAAAAGATTTAAAAAAAATGTTGTATAAATTAATTACAATAATTAATTAATTTAAACACGTATAAAACAATTGTAATTCTTATCAGTTTTTATTTAAGTACATGTTAATTTTTAGTTAGGAAACTGACTTAAATTACCATTAGTGTCATCCTTTAACTAATGATAGGTACTAAAAGTTCGTTAATTAAACAGAAAATATTTTAAAAGACTCTAAAAAATAATAACCAAAGTCCAAGAATATGCATCCACTTGTAGTTAGTTTATAGGTAAGTTTAAGTTTGGTAAAGCCCTAAATAAAAAAGTCTGTTTAATATAAAATACTAAATATATGGATTACCTTACTGTAGTACTCAGCATTATTTTCCTGAAAAAAAAATGTACTAAACATAAAATACACATTTGTTTTTAATTCATTTTAATTTTAAACATTTATTATTTTTTTATATTTCTAAAAAGTGTTTTCAAATAAAATGTAGTAATATGTGAGTTGCATCATTTTTTCATATGCTTAGGAAAAACATTTAAGTATAGATTACCGATCTCTGGTGCTCAACGGCCATCATCTTTAAAATAAGAATTAAACATTAAATTATATAAACTTTTGTTTTAATTCCATTATAATATTTAAACACTATTTGTTTAAAATATTAGACAATTTTTCAACTAAAATGTAGTAGTCATCAAGTTACGATTACACTTTTTCATATGGGTTTTTATAGTACATTATAAAAAAATTAATTAAATATCTATTACCTCCTGCTGCTCTATGAGTGAAGGAACGGTTTGTTAAAAACTATTAAATATTACAAAAAAACTTTTTTGCATGCATAATCGTTTTAAAATTATTCAATACTTTTTAAAATAATTTAAAAATGCTTTTCAACTAACATTTATACAGGGTTTTCCATCTGATGTCAGAGTTGCCAGTTTTTATAGCTAATCACTTAAAATTGATCTACTCTAGAATATCTCTTAGTCTGAAAGTTTTGATACTTGAATATTGACATAGCGCATTGAATACATTTTAAATGTGTATACAATTGTTAAAAAACATTAACTATTTTTAATTCCTATTTTAAAAACAATTTTATTAAAACGCATTTTTTTATTATTTAAAATAGCCTTGGGGTTCTCGACTTTAATGTTTATTTTATTCAGAATTTAAATTAGTATGTCATTTTTTAATAATTTAAATGATCTAAGAACAATTTTGTATAAATAAAAAAATTAATTTAAATACATATATATATAAAATTGTAATTCTTATCAGTGTTTATTTTTGAACATGTTAATATTTAGTTAGAAAACCGGCTAAAATAACCATTACTCTCATCCTTAAATTAATAAAAGGTACTAAAAGTTCGTTAATAAAACAGAAAATATTTTTAAATATTTTTAAAAAATAATAACCAAATACAAAAAATGTGCATCCACTCGTAGTTCGTTTATAGGTAACTTTAAGTTTGGTAAAAAGTTAGTATTACAATTTTGATTTATAGGAAACCGGAATAATTAAACTTTACTACCAGCCCTAAATTAAAAAGTCTGTTTATTATAAAATACTAAATATATGGATTACCTTATAGTAGTACTCAGCATTATTTTCCTGAAAAAAATGTATTACGCATAAAATATACATTTGTTTTAAATTAATTTTAATTTTAAAGATATTTTGTTTTTTTTTTATTTTTAAAATGTGTTTTCAAATAAAATGTAGTAACATGCGAGTTGCAAAATTGTTTCATATGTTTAGGAAAAAAATTGAATTATAGATTACCAATCTCTGATGCTCAATGGCGTTCATCTTTAAAATAAAGAATAAAACATTAAATTTTATTAACATTTGTTTTAAGTCCATTATAATATTTAACATTCATTATTTGTTTAAATTACTAAACAATTTTTTAACCAAATTGTAGTAGTTATCTAGTTACGATTACACTTTTTTATATGGAATTTATAGAACATTTTCAAAAATTACTTAAATATCCATTACCTCCTGCTTTTCTATGAGTGTAGGAACGATTTGTTAAAAACAAAACAAACTATGTAACATAACAAAAAAACTTGTTTTGCATGCATAATCATTTTAAAATTATAAAATAGTTTTTAAAAAGTATTAAAAATGCTTTCTAACTAAAATATATACAGGGTTATCTATCTGATATAAGACACTCATGATTTCAAAAAAAAAATAATATTCTGAAAATCATCATTCTTTTATACTTGTAGGTACATATTTTAATATATTTTTCAATTCGTTGAATAGTTATTTATAAGGGATAAAGACATAAAACAAGTACGGATTTGTTTTTTTGTAAATAGAAAAACATGTTTTTAAATCCACAAATATCTAGTAAAAAAATATAAAAAATATGAGGGTATTTTTTAAAAATGTTTGTCAATCTGTTGGTTTGCTATTTCTTTGCAGAGATATTATACATACTGTTAACCATATACAATTAAATGTTTTGTGATAATGATATACAAAAGGACCTTATCCACCTATTCAAACTGAGAAACGACAACATTGTTATCGATATGTTGTATGATAACATTTAACGGGAAATCATTGTGCTGCTGTTGTAAAAACGGAGTTCGTATTTACAAAATTTAAAACATATCTTCCTTTTTGACTACATGATGTCAATACTTCTCGTTGTATTACCTTACTGTAGTACTCAGTGTTATTTTCCTGAAAAAAAAAATGTATTAAACATAAAATATACATTTGTTTTAAAATCATTTTAATTTTAAACATATAATGTTTTTTTTTATATTTTTAAAAAGTGTTTTCAAATAAAATGTAGTATTATGTGAGTTACAACATTTTTTCATATGTTTAAGAAAAATAATTTAATTATAGATTACCGATTTCTGGTGCTCAATGGCGTTCATCTTTAAAATAAAGAATTTAACGTTAAATTATATTAACATTTGTTATAATTCCATTATAATATTTAACATACATTATTTGTTTAAATTAATTTTACTATATAAAGTCCATACTTCTCTTATGTATATGTGAGAAAGGTAAGATGATTGCCTTAAATTAGGTAAATCATCCTGTATAAAGAATGTATTTTTTAGAAGTTGAATTTTGAGAGTAATGTTTTCAAAGTTATAACTAAAACTTTTTGTCTATGTTATACCAACATTTGCTAAAGTAATGAGTGTGTTTTCAGAAAAAATATAATCCCTTCGTTGAAACGAGGGTAAGTATAACGTTTTTAGTTTACGGCATACATTCAAAATATTTATATAATCTATACATTCGTATTACATATCATATACCTGTATACCTGTGTATATACCTGTATTTGTTTTAACTTAAACACCGCTAAGTTAAAAAGCTACGACAGCTTCGTCGTAGACCAATGAGACATACACTATAGGGCTCGTGTGTGCAAAACCTGACGAGCCAAAACTAAAATAAAAAATAAAACCCCAGTGTAAGCCAATCACTATCAAAACCAACACGGTCTAAACAAACTTCTAGTAAACAAGGGGGATAATATTATGTCTGAAAATAGTTTTAAAAAGTGACACGCCTAATATATTTTTGATTAAAATGTCCTCTCGATCAGAACATTTTTCATAGACTTATAGCACATAACTTAGAAATATGAAAAATTGTGGTCCTTATTAATTGGGAAGTTGGTCTCTATTTATTTTTCCAAATTTTACATCTCCCCCAATACGCAAACTAGACATAGTTATGACTGTTAAATAAATCGGTGGCTTTAAAGTTAAACACAGACAAAAAAAAATATATCTGCTTTGCACTGAAATTTAAATTACTTTGTAGGAAATAGGCATATCAAATGTATTAAACATAATCGAATGAACTATAAAAAAAATATTTAATACGTTTTAATATAAAACATTTTTGTTAATTGATTATTCGGTAGGTTCGAGTACAAATATTATCATTGCAGTACAGATAATTTTACAATACCAAAGTATTATTTTTTTATCTTGTATTAAGACTTATGACTAAAGCAAAAATAACCGATAAATTATTAATTAAACCAAGTGAGAATTGGAGGGGCTCACGATAAAAAAACATCCTGTAGGACATTTTATTTTAATACATCAAACAATATGTATATCGTTTACCAAAAATTTTAATCTTATTTTAAAATTTCAGACACAAGCAAAATAAACTGATCACGTACAATATACGTTTTTAAGCAAGTGTTATACGGACTATGTAGAAACAGTTGTATTAAAGTATGACGCAAAAGACAATGTTTTTTTGTAAAAGAACAAAACGATACATGTTTAAAAAAAAATACTCTGGTAAATTGGAACTTATTCATAATATTCATATGTTCATAGGATTTTTATTAACATGAATGTGTTCATTTTCTTACAAATTATATAATAAGTTTATATAATTTTATAGTTATAAAATACTCTTATTAAATTCTTTCAAGATAAGTGAAAACATTAAATATCACAATAAATATAGGTTATAGGACTTTGCCTCGTATATAATTAATATTTTATATAGAATTACAATTTCTATCCTTTAATATCGAAAAGTGTATTTTGGAAAAAAGTCTACTTATAACAATTGTGAACTAAGCTATCGAAATATTAACTGGTTGATAACCAGTTTTGAACCCCTATTTTTAAAGTTATGAAAGTTTAATTATAAGGACGGGAAGTTGAGAAGTGTGAGCAGATAAAACAGATACTACACTGCCCCTTTCTACCAGACCTAAACTTGAAACTTCAAAAATTGTTATCAAAAACTGGTTATCGACCAGTTGAAATGTTTAGTACATTATTCCCCTTCAAAAGTCAATGCAAGGTATGTTAATTAAACCAAATGAGATATTGAGGGGCCCACAATAAATAAACACCCTGTAGAAAATTATATTCGAAAACGATTAACTACATGTACATAGATTACTAAACAAATATTTTTTTATCTTATATTAAAACTTATGACTAAAGCAAAAATAACGAACACCTACAATGTACTTTTTTAAGCAAGTGTTATTCGGACTTTGTAGAAACAGTTGTATTAAAGTATGACGCAAAAGACAATGTTATTTGTAAATCAACAAAACAATACATGTAAATTGGAACCTAATCATTATATGCATATGTTCATAAGTTCATATGAATACTATAAACATAGAGTATGTTCATTTTCTTACAAATTATATAATTAATTTAAATAATTTTATAATTATAGAATACTCATAGGAAATTCTTCAAACAACATCTTAAGTTAGTTTAAACCTAAAATAGCGTACAAAATGACGATAATTTTACATCTGCTTAATATAAATTATAATGTATGAATTACCTCTTCTATGAATACATCTTCTATCGCTTGTATCGCCTTAAACACAAAGTATGAAATATAAAATTAATACTTGTGTTAAGTTCATTTTAGTTTTTAACATAAAATACAAAATGTTTATAATTAAAATTGTAATTATGGTTACATGTTTTAATAATACTATTAATTATAAAATATTATAAAATATCGCTTACCTTCTGTTTCTCTGTGAGTGTAGAAACTATTTGTTTAAAAAAACAAACTATTAAACACAACGCCAAAACTTGTTTTGCACGCATAATAAACATTTTTTAATTATTCAAAACTTATTAAAAAGTGTTAAAAATGATTTTATAGTATACAAAGACTTGTACTTCAAAGACAATGAAAAGTAATAACGTGTATCTATAAAGTAAAACCAGAGTCTACAAAATATGCTTTAAACAAAGCAAAACAAAATGTGTTTTACCAAAATTTACAGTTTTGCTACGTAAATGCGCCGAGTGGGTATTATAGATATTGTTCTAAAATGTTTACATATGTTGTTTACATATTTCAAATATCTACACTATTATAAATATTTGTTAATATTTACTAAAACCTATGACTAACATAATAAAACCTTTAAATCCCATTATTAATCTAATTACTCCTCTATGATCTATTTTGAACGAGTCTAGCGCTTTTTTTTATAATTCTTCAGTCTTGATGTAATTCCTATAATATCCAACACAATATTAGAATTAAATATCATAAGTAAACGGTGGTTTTTCAGCATTGTATCAATTCAAATAATGTTATTTTCCCATTAACAGTGTATAGGCGTTTAATGCTGTTCCCTCATATTATGTATAATAATAATTAATGTTTTATAATATATTATTCAACATGCATTTTGAACTATAGTTAAAACCGCATAGGCCAGCAATACTTTTATTACGTTTAATATGGTTTTTTTTTATAGTGGGTATTATTTTAATATTTTTATAAATCGAAAAATATTGTTTCTCACAGTGGTGGGTTCTAAATGTCACGTAACATGCAATGTAAATATAATCTTATAGGTATCATAAGATTTTGAATATTAACGTTATAAAAACATAATTTACATAATAATTTTCTCATTATAGATCTATAAAGATATTATTATGACATATTAATGTTATACCACTCCAGGACTCATAACTGTTAGATTAGTAATTATATGTGATCAACATTTGATAGAAATATTTTAATTTAAAGTCAACTTATACACTTTCATATTGTCAATATAATAGATCTACATACAATTTTTGTAATGATATGATAAAACTTGTTTAAGATTTTCAGTGTTTTTATTAAAATATACGAAATACCTGAATTTTATTAGATTTGGCTAAAAAACAAAAATTATTATGAAAATATGATATCAATAAAACTATTATATAAAATGATTAAAATGAATGAAAACAAATACACGCTTTAATTAAAAAAGCTGTACATTAAAAAAAAAAAAGACAAAAAGGGATTACAAGTGTCATAACTAGAAAAAAAATCATTGTTTAAATTTATTTGTTAAACTTTTTATTTTTGAAAATTTAATTATAGTGCACTAATATAAACATAATAGATGATTATGTAGAGGAATAACAAATAATGTTTAAATAATTATATAAAAACAACAATATTAAGCAAATTAAATATATGATAAAATCCAAAATATTGCTTAAAAGAAACAAATATGTTTTTTTTATTCTAATACATTTTATCATTGTCTAATAACCTAATCTTTATTAGTAATATAAGAGTTACAATATTTTCACATTTCTTTATTTAATTAGAGAGCTTTTCATACAACCCTAGTGCAGTTATCAGATAACTGATACAGTATTTTACGGTAAGACTTTGAAAATATTTTTAGGCCTTGTGTTATAAATTATAATTATGAATAGCTGGTTGTGTTTGGTTTTTTCATGACTAGTAAGAAACGATGGTGAAATACCATCATATCCCAGTTATGTTAATATACATACACAAATTTAATAGGTATTAATAAATGTATATATTTATTTATATACACAAATGAGTATTTGTATGCTTGTATCCGGTCACTTACATTATCACACAACCACCTTGTTTTTCTTCTTTCGGCGAGCCATGCTGCAAACGTTCTATAAAAAACTATTTGTTCTAAAACAATATTTTTTTAATTCATTTTCTTGATATTTCTTACTTACCATCGCTATCCGACTGTGGGGGATTATCTGTTACGGGTTCGTGGTCTGGGCTCATTACATTTTTGCCTTTCTAAAATAATTTTAATATATTAAGAAGTATTTAAGTACAAATATTATTTTCTGACATATTTTAAGTTTCCAGAATTATACACTATAAGATAATATTACTAGGTAATAACTTATTTGCCAAATAATAGTGTATATAGTTATTGGTTTTCAGTCAGCGTAGCCCCATTTTATCACTTAATATTTAAAAATTATATACTCTAAAATTAATTGCCTACCCAAATTGTGAGATTTGCACTACCTTTACATCTGTTTATGGTATAAAACTAAATATGAATTACTTCAATCTGGTAGTCATCATTTTTGGCATCTTCAACTTTAGCTTCTCCTAAAAATTTTTTAATGAATTAAACAAAATCGTGTACCAATCGTTGCGTACAGGTGCGCTTTTATATTTTGGTATTTTTTAATTGTATTAGGTACTAAATCAATATAAATATGAAGGACTGCGGAGAAAAAAGATCAATGTCAATTTTTTATGAAAATGAGATTTTGATATCAAATTGTTTGTATTGATGTATTGTATCTTTTATGCGCCCGAACCAGGGGAAAAAACGGATTAGTCGAGATTAATGACTGCCGGCAAAATGTAAAACGTTTTGAAATTAAAAACATGATTTTCTAAGTATGTTAAAAAATTGACATTTATCATTTTTCGCCGCAGCCCTTCAAATGGTATAAGAAATAATTTTTTTTGAAATTAGTATTTAAACTTATTACATACCATGGGTATTAATTTTTGTTTCTTCACCTTCTAGGCTTTGAAAACTTTTAGTTTTCTTTTTAAATATTTCACTTATCTATAATGTTATTAACATATTTATAATTATTTAAATAAAAACATTTTTCCAATGAAATATTTTAACACCTATTCTAGTATAGTTTTAACAATTTTTATATATTTTATAATAATGCTATTAAATAACTTATCTGCCAATGAATAGTGTATAAACTAATAAGTTTATACACTCACTATCTACAGTCAGAGTTGCCAGTTTTTATCGCTAATCACTTAAAATTGATCTACTCTAAAATGTCTCACTATTTGTCATCCTTAAATTAATGAAAGAAACTTAAAATTCATCAATAAAACAAAAAAAAAATTGAAAATCACTTTAAAAAATCATAACTAATAGCCAAAAATGTGCATTAAAATGCATCCGAGTGTTAAACAAAACATTATCACATGAGTTGCGCTAGTTTAACTTCTGTTAAAGATAAAATACTAAATATGGATTACCTTACTGTAATACTCAGCATTATTTTCCTAAAAAAAAAAAATATTAAATATAAAATATACATTTGTTTTAAATCCATTTTAATTTTAAACATATTTTGTTTTTTATATTTTTAAAATAGGTTTTCAAATAGAATGTAGTATTATGTGAGTTGCATCATTTATTCATATGTTAAGAAAAAAATCTAAATATAGATTACCGTTCTCAGTTGCTTAATGGCGTTCATCTTTAAAATAAAGTGAAAAACATTAAATTATATTATCATTTGTTTTAAATTCATTTTAATTTGTAACACACATTATTTTTTTAAATTATTAAAAAATGTTTTTCAATTAAAATGTAGAAGTCATGAATTTACGGTTACACTTTTTCATTTAACTTAAATATTCATTACCTCCTGCTTCTCTGTGAGTGTAGGAACGATTTGTTTAAAAAAAACAAACTATTGAACATTACAAAAAAAAATGTTTTGCATGCATAATTATTTTAAAATTATTCAATAGTTTTTAACAATTGATGAAAATGCTTTCCAATTAAAATAATAATATACAAGGTTATCCATCTGGTGTAAGACACTAAATTTCTCTGAAAAAAATAAATTTCTGAAAATCATCATTCTTTCATAATTGTAGATCCATATTAATATGTTTTTTAATTTGTTAAACATTTTATAGTTATTTATAAGGGATGAAGTCATAAGACAAATACGGATTTTGTTTATTTTGTAAATGGAAAAACATGTTTTTAATGCATACACATGCAGATAAAATTTTTAAAAAATGTGAGCGTTATAATTTTAAATTTTCATCAATCTGTTGGTTTGCTGTGCCTTTGCAATTATATTATATACAATTATAACTAAAAACAATAAAATGTATCAAGATAATGATAAACAGGCGGTCTTTAGCTATCTCTTTAAACAGAGAAACAACGACATTGTTAAAGACAGGGGTTCTATTATATTTTTTTAACGGAAAACTGTTTTAATCTTATAATAAAAGTTTTACAACGTCAAGGCAATGCATATGTATTTAAAATGGTCATAGCAAACGAAGTGATTGGTGAAAAACCACATATGTATACTCAAACAATTATTAAAATTGTTTGTCTACGTGATTATGGTGTTCAAAACATATGCTCTTATTTTAAAAAACAAAGTCCATACTGCTCTCATGTATACATGATGAGTGTCATACACTAGATAAGTCATCCTGTATGAAGAATGTTTTTTAGAAGCCAATTATAATGTGCATTAAAAAAAAAATCGTATCTTTGTGGCAAAAATTGAATCCATATATTATAATAAACGATTTATATTTTGATTTCAGATAATAAAATGGCTTGGTTTAACTTAGGTTAATTAATAAGTTGAACATTGTTGATCTCAGCTGTATACTAAATCTTTTAATAAGTCGAAGTTGGGTTAAAATAAAATGTTGTAATTTATGATTTGTATCGATTAAATTTCGAGAGTTGTGTTTTGAAAATGATAACTAAAACTAATTGTGAATGTAATACTAAAATTTGCTTAAGTAATGAAGTGTGTTTCCAGAAAAAAATATAATCCCCTCATCAATCTTGTGTAAGTATTGAATTTGCGGGATTAATAACGTTTATTAATAATTCAGGTTACGCAAATTCACGGCATACATTCAAAATATGCATATAAGCTCTACATAGTACATTCTATATACCTGTACATACCTATATTTGTTTTAACTAAAACAACGCTACGATGATAATGTTTAAAAAACCACTTGAAATTTATAAAACACACTCATTCCACATTGGCCCAAAAAAATTTGTTTTCACATTAGTTTTTTTGATAGTTACTTTTGATATTTAAATGGTAACATATATTTTATGAACTTTTTAAATTAAGAATATTTTACTACAAATTTAAACTGGTTCATAGCCAATTTTGAACCACTATTTTTAATGTTATAAGAGTTTAAATGTTAGGATGGGAGGTGAAGTGCGGTTGGAAAGTGTAAGCAGATAAAAATAATACTACACTGCCCCTTTCCTACGGCCCTAAACTTGAAACTTCAATAACTGGTTAACGACCAGTCAAAATGTTTTAGTACATTATTCCCAATTTAAAAAGTCAGTGTAATGAATGCAAATGTATGTTACTTAAACCAAGTGATATATTGCGGGGCATACGATAATAAAACACCCTGTGGATAATTTTATTCAAATAATGTTTTTATTCGAAAACGATAAACAACATATACATAGATTACTAAACAAATATTTTTTTATATTTTATTAAAACTTATGACTAAAGCAAAAATAACCGATCACGTACAATGGTCGTTTTTAAGCAAGTGTTATATGGACTATGTAGAACCAGTTGTATTAATGTATGACGCAAAAGACAATGTTATTTGTAAAACAACAAATCAATACATGTTTTTAAAAAATAAAACACTGATTTAAATTGGAACTTAATCATAATATTCATCTGTTCATATGAATATTATCAACATAGAATATGTTCATATTCTTACAATTTATATAATTTTATAATTATAGAGTACTCATATGAAATTCCTTATACAACAACTTAAGTTTGTTTTAACCTAAAATAGCGATAATTTTACATATGTTTAAGATAAAATATTAAATATGAATTACCTCTTCTTTGCACACAGCTTGTATAGCTTGTATCGCCTTAAACACAAAGTATGAAATAAAATATTAACTCTTGTGTTTAGTTCCTTTTAGTTTTTAACATAATACACAAAATGTTTATAATTCAAATTTTAATAACGGTTAAATTTTTTAATAATACATTAAAAAAAATAACTAAAATATCGCTTACCTTCTGCTTCTCTGTGGGTGTAGAAACAGTTTGTTTTAAAAAACAAATTATTAAACAAATCACAAAAACTTGTTTTACGTGCATAATAAATATTTTAAAATTATTCAATAGTTTTTAAAATGTCTAGAAAATGATTTCAGTTAAAATGTTATGTTTAAATATTGCTTCTTTTAACTCAAATTTAGAGGTGGTTTAAAATGAAATAATGTATATCTATGAAGTACAACCCGAATTTACAAAATAAGATTGAAACCAAACCAAAAAAAAATTTGTTACCAAAATGTTTGTATTATAATGTATCGTAGTATATGATCATATTGTACAGATATCAAAATGAGGTCACAGCTATGCACAGAAGTTGTTCTAAAATATTTTGTGTATAAAATCCAAAGTTTAAAAGTTTTTTTTTATTTTGCGCTATAATGTGTAATCTTAAAATCTATAAAAAAAAAATAGTTCATAAATGTTTATTTTGCAATTGAGTAACATTTACTAAAACCTATCAATTACATAATGAGAGCTTGAAATCTTATCTTTAATCTAACTACCTATAATGATCTGTATTCGACAAGTCCAGCACTTATATTTGTAATACTTCAGTATTTAGGTATAATTATATATCTATAAATGAACAAGTAATCGCCCCGAGTGTTATTAGTTATATTAGCTGCTATTGCAATTCTAATAATTTTATTTCCTCGCTAAAGGCCTGTAGGCGCTTCATGCAGTGACCTCATGTTTTGTACAATCATTAATGTTATATATATTATAACAAAAATCTATGATACAATCTTTTGTTTAAATAATATAAGACCCACCATATTTTACAAAATATTTAGTATATCTTTTTTATGGACTATTATCGAGTACAGGTAGTTTTTCACGATGATTGTTGCAATGTTGTAATAAAATACAATACTATACGGTTTATTGTTAACCCTTCGGTAGTAACCATGGGGTATTTTAATACCCCAGACAAATAAAATACGTTATATTTTTTTGAGGTTAAAACATTTGTACCTCAAACGCTGTGGTATCCTAAGTGATAAGAGTATAAATATGATAGTGTGATTTTTATCATTAGCAGTGTAGAACCAAATGATAAACAGCCATTCAAAGTGGGGTCTGGAAATATTTTACCCCATGTGACTATAATTGTTTTATAGTTTGGTAATACATTTTATACGGTGGGGTATTAGATTACCCCGGGTGACTAAAATTGTTAAAATCAATTAGGTGACTACCGAAGGGTTAGTAGGTCAAAGGTGCTGTTGTATGAGCATACATTTTAGTATAAATTGTTTAGAATCCAATAATTTGTGATACATAGGATGAGATTAAATAATATACACTTATATTATGCTTGTATTGTTGTAGAATATATTTCGAAAACATAAAATCCACCGTAATTGTATGGTCTTGTATTGGTCTTTACACGACCAATTCACCCGGTTTTTCTAATCCACATATCTCTGTTTCCTCTTAAGATGGGTTTTTGAAATTGGAAACATAAATTAAGCTTATGTGGTTTGGGGCACTGTCAAAAATTGAGCTCTTAACATTGAGTTGCTTAAAGAGGGGAGAATTTATAAACTCACTCTCTTGTCATCAAAATTAATCATAAGATTTGGCACAATGATTCACAGTACGCCTGCGGTACTGAAGAAGTTTACGATTAACAATACAATTAAATTTTATTATATAAAAAGACTAGGCAGGAATTTAAATCTATTAAATAATTCAAGTTCGTCGTAAGGGGTGAATTGAGATTGAAAATTCCAAGAGACAGAGGTACCTTTGTCTGAGTAATCAGAAAAATATTGTGCACGAGTATTGTTCGAATATTAACTTGTTTTCATATTAAGGACAGGAAGGACTAATTTAATTGTATATTTACATAACGTAACTCTGTTATCGTTTAATTAAATATCAAAATATTCGTTATTACTCTTTCTAGTTCTCTCATTTAGTTCTCTCTTCTAGTGTAACTTTTATTGTTTATCGTTTAAAAATGCTCTGCTCCAATTTTATTAAATATCAAAACAATCAGTTTAATTGTCCACTAAAAATGTTATTTAAAACTTTTTTTTTTAATAATAAAATATAATTATCATTATAGTATTCCGAATTATTTAAAATACATTATTTATTACATTAATTAATTTTTACTCAATGTATCATTTAATATTTTAGTATAATTTCAAATTATACATTTTTTATTTTAATTATTTGAATATTGTAATTTATCTTTTATTTAAAATCATATTTTATTTCAATTAAAGTTTATTTCATTATTTGAGCTTTTAGCTGAATAATGTTTTTCATCCAGATAAAACAAATTCATGCTTGAACTAAAAAAGCTGTTTATTAAAATTTTCAAAAAGGGTTTACAATTGTCATTATTAGAAAATAAACCACTGTTTGAATTTATTTGTTTAATCATTTATTTTTGCAAATTTAATAATAATGCATAAATAATATGTAATAGTAAACATACATAATGTAACTCAGAACCCATATAAACATAAAAGATAAATATGTAGAGGAGTAAGAAATAATATTTAAATAATTATATAATAACAATAATATTAAGCAAATGAAATATATGATAAAACCCAAAATATTGCTTAAAAAAAAAAATTATTATAAAGATTTGTTTTCACATTTCTTTATTTAATTAGGGAGCTTTTCATACTATCCTATTCCAGTTATCAGATAGCTGCTACAGTATTTTACGGTATAACTTTGGAAGTATTAGATTTTCAGACCTTGTGTTAAAGTTATGGATAGCTGGTTGTGGCTTCATGACTACTAATACAATGTTTTATATAGCATAATTATTTTTACAGTTAATATTAAAATAGAATATAAGTGAAGTTTATTGAAACGATGGTGAAATACCATCATGTATAATAATACATAATATACATACACAAATTAAATGGGTATAAATACATGTATATTTTTATTTAAATACAAAAAATAGTATTTGGATGCTTGTATCCGGTCACTTACATTATCACACAACCGCCTTGCTTTTCTTCTTCCGGCGAGCCATGCTGCAAACGTTCTATAAAAAACTCTTTGTTCTAAAACGAAATTTTTTAAATTAATTTTCTTGATATTTCTTACTTACCATCGCTATCAGACTGTGGGGGATTATCTGTTACGAGTTCGTGGTCTGGGCTCATTAAATTCTTGCCTTTCTAAAATATTATTAATATATTAAGAAGTATTTAAGTACAAATATTTTTTTCTGACATATTTTATGCCTATAGTAAAATAATAGTGTATACAGTTATTGGTTTACAGTCAACGTAGCCACTTTTCGGCGCTTAATATTTAAAAATGATATACTCCAAAACTAATTGCCTACCCAAATTGTGTGATTTGAACTACCTTCACATCTGTTTGTGGTATAATACTAAATATGAATTACCTTATTCTGGTAGTCATCATCTTTGGTATCTTCAACTTTAGCTTCTTTAATCTCCTTATCAACCAATCGTTGCGTACGTTTGCGCTTTTTTATTGTGATATCATTCTCAATGGTATTAGGTACTAAATCAATATAAATAAGGTATAAGAAACAGTTTTATCGAAATTTATATTGAAACTTATTACTTACCACGGAGATTAAGTTTTGGTTCTTCACTTACTAAGCGCCGAAGACTTTGCAATTTCTTTTCAAGTATTGCAATTCCCTATAATATTATAAACATATTTATAATTTTTTAAATAATAACAATGACATTTTTTTAATACCTTTATTAGTATTGTTTTAACAATTTTTGTATTGTAACGGACCTACTTGTCTAGCTGGCTAGACTAGGCAAAGTGGCCGTCGATAAAGCTAAAATAGACGGATCCCCACGGGAAAACGGTTGGCTAGGCCGTTGTCTACGTCTAATTGGCCTTAAAGTCTCCCTTATTAACTTAATATATCGCCCGAGGAGCTAGAACGGGCGGTCACACTGTTAAAAGATCTAACTCTCAGCTGCAGGCTACAAGATGTTTTATTCTAAATTAGGGTTTCTAAATAAAATACAAAATTATACAATATATATATATATACACTCTGACCTGGGTTGGACGATGAAATGGTTGGTCAAAGCGGAGTTGAAACGGACGCACACAAAAGATAGTCGGATGGGCGGCTTGTAGTAAAACGGCAAAAATATAGAGCGCAAGGTCGAGGATATTGGCGGTCCGTGATGGTAAAGTCAACTGGTTAATTAGATGATACGCGACGTGCATTGTCCTGTGTGTGCGACCGTTCCCCTACCTATAGTCGGGGGTGCTGTGTCAGTTGGTTTGGGACGCGAAGTAACGGTCAAGCGAAATATGATCGTTACAGTATATTAAATAATAATGCTAGTGAATAACTTATAAGCCAATGAATACTATATAAAGATATTAATCCTCAGTTAGCGTTGCCAGTTTTTTTCGCTAATCACATAATATTAATCTACTATTAAATGTCTCCGATAGTCTGAAAGTATTAAAACTTTAATATTGACATTAAAGCGCAATTTGTTTAAAAAAATAATCTCCATTTATTTCCTATTTCAAAAACTATTTTTTTTAAAATAACCCTGTGTTTCAAATTAAAATTATTATGGCATATTTTATGTTTAATAATTTAAACTATCTAAAAACAATTTTGTTTAAATTAATTAATTAATAAACATATTTATAAAATTGTAATTCTTATCAGTTTTAATTTATGAACATGTTAATATTTAGTTAGAAATCCGGCTAAAATAGTCATTACTCTCATCCTTAAATTAATAAAAGTTAATAAAAGTTCGTTAATAAAACAGAAAGTATTTAAAAATTATAACCAAAAGCCAAAAATTCGCATCGACTTGTAGATTGGTAACAGGTAAGTTTAAGTTTAGTAAAATAACTAGTATTAAAATTTTGATTTATAGGAAACCGAATTAAATCAACTTTACTGTCAGCCCTAAATTAATAAAAGATCATTAAAGTTCGTTAATCAAACAGAAAATATATAACCATTAGCCAAAAATGTGCATCAAAATGCATCCTTGTGTTAAAACAAAATATTATCATATGAGTTGCGCTAGTTTTACATCTCTTTAATACAAAATACTAAACATGGATTACCTTACTGTAGTACTCAGGGTTTTTTTCCTTAAAAAAAAATGTATACATTTGGTTTAAATCTATTTTAATTTTAAACATAAATTGTTTTTTTATATTTTTTAAAAGTGTTTTTAAATCAAATTTAGTCTTATGTAAGTTGCATCATTTTTTCATAATATGTTTAAGAAAAAAACATAAAGATATAAATAACAACATTTACAATAACATATAGATTTTATTATAGATTACCGTTCTCAGGTGATCAATGGCGTCCATCTATAAAATATAGAATTTAACATTAAATAATATTAACATTTGTTTTGCAAATGTATTATTAATTAACAAATACATTGTTTGTTAAAATTATTAAACATTAATTATTCAACCAAAATCTAGTAGTAATTAACTTTTTAATTCATTTTTAATTTAATAAATATTTTACTAAAAGTTGATGGCTTAGTGCAGACTTGTTATAAGTCACAAAATTAAAATTGTTCAGGAGAGCGAAAAGAAGTTACACTTTTTTTGAATTCGCATAACTTAAGTAATATTTAATCAAATTATTATCTAAAAATAAAATATTTGTGGTTTTATTTCATGTAAGTTGAATTTATGTAGCATTTTTATTTATTAAATGATTTGTCATTTTTTTGTAAAATGATGTGGGCTTATAATAAAGTAACAAAATTAATTTGGCTAGGAATGGCCTTGTAATGATTAAGTGGACTTATTACTTTTTTAACAGTTTACTATATTATTTTATTTCCATAAAAACATAAAATAATCAAATTACTTTTTAAGTCTTCATATTAGACTTAACAAATATGTTACCTTGACATATTATGACATTATATTTTAAAATAGTAAAAATAACAAAATACAATAATACAAAAGTAATAAAAAAACATTTCTTTAATAAAATATTAACTCTAGTGACAATCGTAAAAAATATTTTTTTATGTATTTATGATATTTTATCATATTTAATAAGTATGCTTATATATTATAAGTCCGTTGATAAACATATTTTAATTGCACACATATGAGAAGTCCGGACTTATAATAAGTGTGCAGTTAATAATTTAAGTATACAAATATTATGATATATGTGCAGTCCAATAATTAAACTTGTATAAAAAATCAAGGACTTAACATTTTAAGTGGTGGACTTATTACATTTGAGCAAAAACCATAATAGCTAAATGCCATTCATGATAAGTGAAAACATTAAATATCACAATAAATATAGGTAATGAGACTTTGCCTCAAAATAAAAAATTAGGAGTATTCAAATTTCTATCCGTTAATATCAAAAAGTGTAATTTGGAAAAAAGTGAACTTACAACAAGTGTGCACTAAGCCATTGAAATATTAACTGGTTAATAACCAGTTTTGAACTCCTATTTTTAAAGTTATGAAGTTTAAATATTAGGATGGGTGGTGAAGTAAGGTGAGCACATAAAAAAAAATACTACACCACCCCTTTTCTCCTGCCTTAAAACTGAAAATTCAAAAATTGTTATCAAAAACTGGTTATCGACCAATCAAAATGTTTAGTACATTATTCCCAATAAAAAAGTCATTGCAATGTATGTTAAATAAGCCAAGTGAGATATTGAGGAGTCCGCGATAAAAAAACACACTGTAGATAATGTTATTCGAATAATTAATAATAATTGATTACTAAACAAATATTTTTTTATCTTATATTTAAAACTTATGACCATAGCAAAAATAACCGATCACGTTCAATGTACGTTTTTAAGCAAGTGTTATTCGGACTTTGTAGTAACAGTTGTATTACTGTATGACGCAAAAAAACAATGCTATTTGTAAAACCAACATAACGATACATGTTTTTAAAAAATAAAGCACTCATGTAAATTGAAACTTAATCATAATATGCATATGTTCATATAAATATTATTAACATAGAATATGTTCATATTCTTGCAATTAATAATTAATTTAAATAATCTTATAATTACAGAATACTCTAAAAAATTCTTTGTATAACATCTTAAGTTAGTTTAAACCAAAAATAGCGTACAAAATACCGATAATTTTACATCTGCTTAAGATAAATTATTAAATATGAATTACCTCTTTTCTGAATTCATCTTCTATCGCCTTAGAAACGAAGTATGAAACATAAAATTTACACTTGAGTTAAGTCCATTTTAGTTTTTAACATAATATACAAAATATTTGTAATTATGGTTACATTTTTTAAAAATACCTACTCTTAAATATTAATAAAACTATTGATTATGTAATATTATAAAATATCGCTTACCTTTTGCTTCTCCGTTAGTGTAGAAACGGTTTGTTTGAAAAAACAAATTATTAAACACAACGCGAAAACTTGTTTGGCATGTATAATTATTGCAGTAGTTTTTAAAAACTCTTAAAAATGATATAACTAAAATGTAGTTAAAAAGATTAATTTGTTTAACTTAACCTAAAGTCGAACGTTTTTTTGTATTCATACAATTCACTGTGATTTTATTTCGATATTACAGCTTTTGTTGTCATAACCATAATTTAAAAAAAAGAATTATGTTTTTAATTTTGTATAGTACTTATATAATAGTCCTCATACAATATTTTAATTACCTGACCCATAAATAGCCATACTTTTACATTTGTATAAGATCAAATTTTAAATATGAATTACCTCTCCCTTGAGCATATAATTTACTGCTGCCTTAAAAACAAGTATTAAACATAAAATTAACACTTGTGTTAAATTCATTTTAGCTTTTAACATAAACAATATTTTTATAATTAAAACTGTAAATACGGTTACATTTTTAATACGTGTTTTAATAATACATTTTTAAAAATTAACTTAAATAACGCTCACCATCTGCTTCCTTGTGGTTGTTGAATCTGTTTGTTTTAAAAAACAAATTATTAAACATAACGCAACAACTTGTTTTGTATGCATAATTATTGCAATAGTTTTTAAGAAGAATTAAAAATGATTTAACAAAACGTAGTATATAAAGACTAATTTTTTTTTAACTTTAGAGAAGAAATAACGTGTATATATGAAGTAAAACCAAAATCTACAAAATATACATAAGACAAACCTAACAGATTTGCTTTGTAACTTATGCGTCGAGTAGGTATTCCAATTGTGGTTACAGTTGTACTTAAATGTTGTATTAAACTGTTTATTTATTTTGTGTATATATTTCAAATATCTACACAAAAAAAATAAATTTCTGAAAATCATCATTCTTCCATAATTGTTGATTCATATTTTATGTTTTTTAACTTGTAAAATATTATACAGTTATTTATAAGGGATGAAGTCATAAGACAAATACGGATTTTGTTTATTTTGTAAATGGAAAAACATGTTTATAATGCATACACATGCAGATAACATTTTTTAAAAAATGTGAGCAATATAATTTTTAATTTTCATCAATCTGTTGGTTTGCTGTGTCTTTGCAAATATATTATATACACTTATAACCAAAAACAATAAAATGTATCGAGATAATGATAAACAGGCGGTCCTTATCTATCTATTTAAACAGAGAAACAACGACAGTGTTAAAGATGAGGGGTTCTATGATATTTTTTTAACGGAAATCTGTTTCAATCTTATAATCAAACTTTTACAACGTCAAGGCAATGCATATGTATTTAATCTATGGTCATAGCAAACAAAGTGATTGGTGAAAAACCACATATGTATACACAAACAATTATTAAAATTGTTTGTCTACGTATTTATGGTTTTAAAACATATGCACTTATTTTAAAAAACAAAGTCCATACTTCTCTCATGTATACATGATGAGTGTCATACACTAGATAAGTCATCCTGTATGAAGAAGGTTTTTTAGAAGCCAATTATAATGTGCATTAAAAAAAAATCGTATCTTTGTGGAAAAAACTGAATCCATATATTATAATAAAAGATTTATATTTTGATTTCAGATAATAAAATGGCTTGGCTTAACTTAGGTTAATTAATAAGTTAAACATTGTTGATCTCAGTTGTATACTAAATCTTTTAATAAGTCGAAGTCGGGTTAAAATAAAATGTTGTGTTTTGAAAATGATAGCTAATACTAATTGTGAGTGTAATACCAAAACGTGCTTAAGTGATGAAGTGTGTATTTAGAAAAAAAATATAATTCCCTCATTTGATTGTAAGTAATGAATTTGCGTAACCAGGACTAATAACGTTTAATTATAATTCTGGTTACGCAAAATCACGGCATACATTTAAAATATGCATATAAGCTCTTCATAGTACATTTTATATGCCTGTACATACCTATATTTGTTTTAACTAAAACAACGCTACGATGATAATGTTTAAAAAACCACTTGAAATTTATAAAACACACTCATTCCACATTGGCCCAAAAAAATTTGTTTTCACATTAGTTTTTTTGATAGTTACTTTTGATATTTAAATGGTAACATATATTTTATGAACTTTTTAAATTAAGAATATTTTACTACAAATTTAAACTGGTTCATAGCCAATTTTGAACCATTATTTTTAATGTTATAAGAGTTTAAATGTTAGGATGGGAGGTGAAGTGCGGTTGGAAAGTGTAAGCAGATAAAAATAATACTACACTGCCCCTTTCCTACGGCCCTAAACTTGAAACTTCAATAACTGGTTAACGACCAGTCAAAATGTTTTAGTACATTATTCCCAATTTAAAAAGTCAGTGTAATGAATGCAAATGTATGTTAATTAAACCAAGTGATATATTGCGGGGCACACGATAATAAAACACCCTGTGGATAATTTTATTCGAATAATGTGTTTATTCGAAAACGATAAACAACATGAACATAGATTTCGTTATTTGAGTTTTTAGCTGAATAATGTTTTTCATCCAGATAAAACAAATACATGCTTTAACTAAAAAAGCTGTTTATTAACATTTTCAAAAAGGGATTACAATTGTCATTATTAGAAAAAAAACCACTGTTTGAAATTATTTGTTAAATCATTTATTTTTGCAAATTTAATAATAATGCATATATAATATGTAATAGTAAACATACATAATGTAACTCAGAACCCATGTAAACATAAAATATAAATATATAATAGTGGAGTAAGAAATAAAATTTAAATAATTTTATAATAACAATAATATTAAGCAAATTAAATATATGATAAAATCCAAAATATTTCTTAAAAGAAAAAAAATGATTATAAAGAGTTAATTTTACAAAAAACAATATTTTCACATTTCTTTATTTGATTAGGGAGCTTTTCATACAATCCTGTTCCAGTTATCAGATAGTTGTTACAGTATTTTACGATATAACTTTGGAAATATTAGATTTTCAGACCTTGTGTTATAATTATAGATAGCTGGTTGTGATAAGTTTTAGTGACAAATAACACAAGTTTTTTTATAGCATATTTATTTTTACTGTTAATATTAAAATAGAATATAAGTGTAGTTTAATGAAACGATGATGAAATACCACCATGTTAATATAAATACACTAACTAAATAGGTTTTAATACATATATATTTATATTTAAATACAAAAGATAGTATTTGTATGCTTGTATCCGGTCACTTACGTTATCATACAACCTTCTTGTTTTTCTTCTTGGGACGAGTCTTCAGACTGTGGGTGATTATCTGTTACGGGTTCGTGATCTAGGCGCATAACATTTTTGCCTTTCTAAAATGATATTAATATATAAAGTAGAATTTAAGTACTAATGTTATTTTCTGACATATTTTATACCTATATAAGTATAATTTAAGTTTCAATGATTATACACTATAAGATAATAATACTAAGTAATAACTTGTATGCCTAATAATAGTGTATAAGTTATTGGTTTACAGTCAGCGTAGCCCCTTTTTATCGCTTATTATTGAAAAAAGATATACACTAAAACGTATTGCCTACCCAAATTGTGTAATTTACACTAACTTTAAATCTATTTATGGTATAAAACTAAATATGAAATACCTTATTTTGGTTATCATCATCTTTGGCATCTTGTACTAAAAAAATTTTAATGAATTCAATAAAATCGTGTACCAATCGTTGCGCACATGTGAGCTTTTTTATTTTGGTATTTTTCAATTATATTAGGTACTAAATCAATATAAATATGTTATAAGATTTTGGTTCTTTACCTTTTAGCCGTTGAAGGCTTTCCACTTTCTTTTCAAGTATTGCCATTCCCTATAATATTATAAACATATTAATAATTATTAAAATAAAAACAATGACATTTTTTTGATACCATTTTTAGTATAGTTTTAACAATTTTTGTATATTAGATAATAATGCTATTGAATGACTTATACGCCAATGAATTGTATATAAAATTATTAATCCTCAGTTAGCGTTTGCCAGTTTTTATCGCTAATCACATAATATTGATCTACTCTAAAATGTCTCCGATAGCCTAAAAGTATTAAAACTTTAATATTGACATTAAAGCGCAATTTGTTTAAAAAAATAATCTCCATTTATTTCCTATTTCAAAAACTTTTTTTTTTAAAATAACCTTGTGTTTCAAATTAAAATTATTATGGCATATTTTATGTTTAATAATTTAAACTATCTAAAAACAATTTTGTTTAAATTAAATAATTAATAAACATATTTATAAAATTGTAATTCTTATCAGTTTTAATTTATGAACATGTTAATATTTAGTTAGAAATCCGGCTAAAATAGTCATTACTCTCATCCTTAAATTAATAAAAGTTAATAAAAGTTCGTTAATAAAACAGAAAGTATTTAAAAATCTCTTTTAAAAATTATAACCAAAAGCCAAAAATTCGCATCGACTTGTAGATTGGTAATAGGTAAGTTTAAGTTTAGTAAAATAACTAGTATTAAAATTTTGATTTATAGGAAACCGAATTAAATCAACTTTACTGTCAGCCCTAAATTAATAAGAAGATCATTAAAGTTTGTTAATCAAACAGAAAATATATAACCATTAGCCAAAAATGTGCATCAAAATGCATCCCTGTGTTAAAACAAAATATTATCATATGAGTTGCGCTAGTTTTACATCTCTTTAATACAAAATACTAAACATGGATTACCTTACTGTAGTACTCAGGGTTTTTTTCCTTAAAAAAAAAATTTATACATTTGGTTTAAATCTATTTTAATTTTAAACATAAATTGTTTTTTTATATTTTTTAAAAGTGTTTTTAAATAAAATTTAGTCTTATGTAAGTTGCATCATTTTTTCATAATATGTTTAAGAAAAAAACATAAAGATATAAATAACCATACCATAATACCATAATACCATTTTTAGTATAGTTTTAACAATTTTTGTATATTAGATAATAATGCTATTGAATGACTTATACGCCAATGAATTGTATATAAAATTATTAATCCTCAGTTAGCGTTTGCCAGTTTTTATCGCTAATCACATAATATTGATCTACTCTAAAATGTCTCCGATAGCCTAAAAGTATTAAAACTTTAATATTGACATTAAAGCGCAATTTGTTTAAAAAAATAATCTCTACTTATTTCCTATTTCAAAAACTATTTTTTTTAAAATAACCTTGTGATTATCGACTTAAATAATAATTTTATTTAACTTTAAATTTGTGTAGCATATTTTAAATTTAATAATTTAAATTATCTAAAAACAATTTTGTTTAAATTAATTAATTACAATATTTGTATATAAAATTGTAATTCTTATCAGTTTTAATTTAACAAAATGTTTATTTTTAGTTGGAACACTGGCTAAAATAACCTTTACTGTCATCCTTAAATTAATTAAAGGTACTAAAAGTTTGTTAATAAAAGAGAAAATATTTAAAAATCTCTTTTAAAAATTATAACCAAAAGCCAAAAATTCGCATCGACTTGTAGATAGGTTATAGGTTAATTTAAGTTTGGTAAAAAGCTAGTATAAAAAATTTAATTTATAGGAAACCGAATTAAATCAACTTTACTGTCAGCCCTAAAAAAATAAAAGATCTTAAAAGTTGGTAATTAAAACAGAAAATGTATAACCAATAGCTAAAAATGTGCACCAAAATGCATCCCAGTGTCAAAACAAAATATTATCATAGAAGTTGCGCTAGTTTTACATCTGTTTAAGATAAAGTACTAAACATAGATTACCTTATTTTGGTACATAGCACTCTTTTCCTTAAAAAAAAAAAAATGTTAAACGTAAAATATACATTTGGTTTAAATCTATTTTAATTTTAAACATAAATGTTTTTTTTTATATTTTTCAAAAGTGTTTTCAAATAAAATATAGTCTTATGTAAGCTGCATAATTTTTACATAATATGTTTAAGAAAAAAACATATAGATATAAATAACAACATCTACAATAACATATAGATTTAAGTATAGATTACCGTTCTCAGGTGATCAATGGCGTCCATCTATAAAATAAAGAATTTAACATTAAATAATATTAACATTTGTTTTGCAAATGTATTATTAATTAACAAATAAATTGTTTGTTAAAATTATTAAACATGAATTATTGAACTAAAATGTTTTAGTATTTAACTTTTTAATTTAAGAATATTTTACTAAAAATTGATGGCTTAGTGCCGACTTGGTATAAGTCACAAAATTAAAATTGTTCACGAGAGCGAAAAGAAGTTTCACTTTTTTTGAATTCGCATAGTAATATTTAATCAAATTTTTATCTAAAAATAAAATATTTGTAGTTTTATTTCATGTAAGTTGAATTTATGTAGCATTTTTATTTATTAAATAATTTTTCATTTTTTTGTAAAATGATGTGGACTTATAATTAAGTAACAAAATTAATTTGGCTAGGAATGGCCTTGTAATGATTAAGTGGACTTATTACTTTTTTAACAGTTTACTATATTATTTTATTTCCATAAAAACATAAAATAATCAAATTACTTTTTAAGTCTTCATATTAGACTTAACAAATATGTTACCTTGACATATTATGACATTATATTTTAAAATAGTAAAAAAAACAAAATACAAAAATACAAAAGTAATAAAAAACATTTCTTTAATAAAATATTAACTCTAGTGACAATCGTAAAAAATATTTTTTTATGTATTTATGATATTTTATCATATTTAAGAAGTATGCTTTTATATTATAAGTCCGTTGATAAACATATTTTAATTGCACACATATGAGAAGTCCGGACCTTTAAGAAGTGTGCAGTTAATAATTTAATAATACAAATCAAATGTATTTTAAGTCCGGACTTATGATATATGTGCTGTCCATTAACTAAACTTGTATAAAAAGTCAAGGACTTAACATCTTAAGTAGTGGACTAATTACATTTGAGCAAAAAACAAAATAGCTAATTGCCATACATGATAGGTGAAAACATTAAATATCACAATAAATATAGGTTATGAGACTTTGCCTCAAAATGAAAAATTAGGAGTATTCAAATTTCTATCCGTTAATATCAAAAAGTATATTTTGGAAAAAAGTGGACTTACAACAAGTGTGCACTAAGCCATTGAAATATTAACTGGTTGATAACCAGTTTTGAACGCTTATTTTTAAAGTTATGAAGTTTAAATATTAGGATGGGTGGTGAAATAAGGTGAGCACATAAAAAAAAATACTACACCACCCCTTTTCTCCTGCCTTAAAATTGAAACTAAAAAAATTGTTATCAAAAACTGGTTATCGACCAATCAAAATGTTTAGTACATTATTCCCAATAAAAAAGTCAATGCAATGTATGTTAAATAAGCCAAGTGAGATATTGAGGAGTCCGCGATAAAAAAACACACTGTAGATAATTTTATTTGAATAATGTTTTTATTCGAAAACGATAAACAAAATGTACATAGATTACTAAACAAATATCTTTTATCTTTTTATATTAAAACTTTTGACTAAAGCAAAAATAACGGACACGTACAATGTACGTTTTTAAGCAAGTGTTATTCGGACTTTGTAGTAACAGTTGTAGTACGTATGACGCAAAAAAACAATGCTATTTGTAAACCAACAAAACGATACATGTTTTTAAAAAATAAAGCACTCATGTAAATTGGAACTTAATCATAATATGCATATGTTCATAGGAATATTATTAACATAGAATATGTTCATATTCTTACAGTTAACAATTAATTTAAATAATTTTATAATTATAGATTACTCATATGAAATTCCTTGTACATCATCTTAAATTAGTTTAAAAATCCTAAAATAGCGTACAAAATACCGATAATTTTACATCTGCTTAAGATAAATTATTAAATATGAATTACCTCTTTTCTATATTTATCTTCTATCGCCTTAGAAACAAAGTATGAAACATAAAATTAACAATGGTCTTAAGTCCGTTTTAGTTTTTAACATAGTATACAAAATATGTATAAATCAAATTGTAATTATGGTTACATTTTTAAAAATACCTACTTTTAAAAATTAATAAAACTATTGATTATGTAATATTATAAAATATAGCTTACCTTTTGTTTCTCCGTTTGTGTAGAAACGGTTTGTTTTAAAAAACAAATTATTAAACACAACGCGAAAACTTGTTTGGCATGCATAATTATTGCAGTAATTTTTAAAAAGTCTTAAAAATGATTTAACTAAAATGTAGTATACAACGACTAATTTTTTTAAACTTTTGAGAAGAAATAACGTCTATATATGAAGTAAAACCAGAGTCAAAATATACTTAAGACAATCCTAACAGTTTTTTTTTTTTTTTTTAAACGCGTTGAGTAGGAGGTATTCCAATTGTGGTCACAGTTGTACTTAAATGTTGTTTTAAAATGTTTACTTATGTTGTGTATATATTTCAAATATCTACACATATCACACAAATATTCGTTAACATTTACTAAAACCTATGAATAACACGATGAAACCTTTAAAAACCATTATTATTCTAAGTACCCCTTCTTGATCATTATTCGACAAGCGTACCGTATTATTTTATAATCTTTCAGTCTTCATGTCTTCTTAACTACCTATTCAACTATCTATCCATAAATGAACAATCAATCATCCTGAGTGTTTCATTGTTTTTTGTATTAAATACAATATCTAAATGTTATTCTACCTCATTAGAGCAACCCATCATTACATCCTATAATACCCAACACAATATTAGGATTAAATATCTTTAGTATATAGTGGTATTTCTGCATTGTATCAGTTCCAATAACGTTATTTCTCCATTAACGGCTTGTAGGCGTTTAATGAAGTGCCCTCATATTATGTATAATAATTGATTTTTTTTTTAAATAAAATGTTCTTTTATTTCCTAACATCCAGATAAATTTGATTTAAAAAAAAGCCAGTACAGTGGGGCCGGGTCATAGTGGGGGACGGAGAGGTCACAGGTCTACAGATTTTATTATAACTGAAAGTGATATCACTTTTAAATAAACGCTTCGATGCGAATCTGTGGATAGTATGTTCAAATCAGTTATAGCGGTTTAGAAGATATATTGTTTAGATGTTTTTCTCGACTTTGATAGGGAATGGGTGAATTTTTTAATTTTTTGCCCGATAATGTACCTTTCAGGTATGATTTCTGATCTATAGAGTTGCTATACAAAGAAATCGGTTCAGCGTTTATGAGATATCGTGGGTCCAGACACAAAAATAAATAATAAAAAATAAAAACACATCAATGTAAAAACAATACTTTCCCAACTCCGCATCGAAGCTAAAATTGGATTGATACAATGAATTTATTACGTTCTATAGTGTAACTAGTCATTAGTTGACGATGTTATATATATCAATTATTAAATTTCAATAACTATTTGGTTTATATACATGTTTACTGTTACTCGTTATTTGGATTACTATTCGCCGGTTGGTTTATTAATACCTGAATTATATTAAATTTGGCTAAAAAACAAAAACTATTATAAAAATATGATATCAATTTAACTATTATACAAAATTAGTATTAATAAAAAAAAATAAACGTTTTAGTGTTGTTCACTAAAAAAACCGCCGAAAAGGGATCACAAGTGTCATAATTAAAAAAAAAAAATTTGGTTCGAACATTTTTTGTTAAATTATTTATTTTTGTAAACATACATAATGTAACTTAGAACCCATGTAAACATAAAATATGATTATATTATAGTGGAGTAAGAAAAAATTATTAAAAAGAGTTATTTTCACAAAAAACAATATTTTCACATTTCTTTATTTAATTAGAGAGCTTTTCGTACAATCCTAATCCAGTTATCAGATAGCTGTTATCTTCGCATAATCTTATTCTAAAACAATTAAAAGAATACAATACAAAATCGTGTACCAATCATTGTGTACAAGTGCACTTTTTTATTTTGATATTTTTCAATTGTATTAGGTACCACAAATCAATATAAATATGGTCAATATAGGAAACAGTTTTATCGAAATTTGTATTTAAACTTATTACTTACCATAAGGATTAATTTTTGGTTTTCCACCTTTAAGGCTTTGAAGACTTCGCAATTGTTTTTTTAAATATTTTAATTCTCTATAATATTATTAACATATTTAAAATTATTTACATAAAAACATTTTTCTAATAAAAATGTTTAATACCTATTTTAGTATAGTTTTAACAATTTTTTTGTATTACAGTTAATGACTAATGACCAATGAAAAGTGTATAAACTTATTAATCTACAGTCAGCGGTGCCAGTTTTTATCGCTAATCACTTTACTGGTCTACTCTCAAATGTCTCATTACTGGCATCCTTAAATTAATAAAATGTATTTCAAGTTCGTTAATAAAACAGAAAATATTTTTAAATTAATAAATGTGGATCGACTTGTAGTTCTATGTTATGACATGTTAAAACAAAACATTATTACATGAGTTGCGCTAATTTTACATCTGTTTAAGATAAAATAGTAAATATGAATTACCTGACTTTTGTAATCAGCAATATTTTCCTTAGAAAAAATATATTTATTTGCATTAAATCCATTTAAATTTTAAACATAAATTGTTTTTAATAACTTAAAGGATGTTTTCAAATAAAATGTAGTTTTATGTGAGTTGCATCATTTTTTCATATGTTCAAGAAAAATTTCTAAATTATAGATAACCGTTTTCAGGTGCTCAATGGCGCTCATCTTTAAAAAAAAGTATTAAACATTAATTTTTATTAACGATTGTTTTAAATCCATTTTAAATTTTAACAAACATAATTTTTATTAAATAATTAAAAATGTTTTCAACTAAAATGTAGTATTCATGTAGTTACGGTCACCTTTTTTCATATTGGTTTTTATGGTACATTAAAAAAAATTACTTTAAAATCCATTACCTGCTCCTTCTCTGTGAGTGTAGGAACCGTTTAAAAAAAAAAAACAACTTTTGAATATTATAAAAAAACTGGTTTTGTATGCATAATCATTTTTAAATTATTCAATAGTTTTTAAAAAGTGTTAAAAATGCTTTCAACTAAAATATAAAAATATATATAACTAAAATATACTGGGTGATCCATCTAATGTAAAAAAAAAGTGAATGTATGTAGAAAAAACAGAATCCAAATAATATTATCAAAGACTTATATTTTAAATTCTGATAAAAAGAAATGGCTTGAATTAACTTAGGTTAATTATTAAGTTGACCACTGTTCATCTTAGTTGAATGCAACATCTTTTATTAATATAATTATGTAATACCAACATTTGCTTAAGTAATGAAATGTGTTTTCCGAAAAAAATTAAATCCCCTCATCGATGGAGTGTAAGCATATTGTTCTTAAATTTTGGTTACGCAAATTATTCACGGCATACATTCAAAATATGTATATAAGCTATACCTGTGTATATACCTATATTTGTTTTAACTAGAACCTCGATCACAAAAATGTTCATGAATTTGTAGCACATAAATATAATTGAATTGAAATATGAAAAAATTGCAGTCCTTCTTAATTGGGGGGCTGGTCTCTATTTACTTTAACAAATTTTACATCTTCCACAAGGCGCAAACTAGACATAATTATTACTGATTGATTGACTTGCTGATCAAGTAAATTAATCAGCTAAATGCAGACAAAATCTGCTTTTTGAAATTTAAATTACTTTCTAGGAAATAGGCATATTAAATGTATTCAATATATCCGAATGAAATATAAAAAAATGATTTAATACGGTCGAAAATAAAACATTTTTGTTCAAGAAATCGACGTGTACGAGGACAAATATTATCATTACAGATAATTTTATTTGAATAACTGTTTTATTCGAAAAAATCAATCAACATGTAATTAAACTTACAACTAAAGCAAAAGTAACCGATCACGTACAATGTACGTTTTTAAGCAAAGGTTATTTAGGCTTTGTATAAACATTTTTATTAAAGTAAATAATGCTAGTTATAAGAGTTTAAATATTAGGACGGGTGGTGAAGTGTGAGCACAAATAATAATACACTCCCCCTCTCCTCTGGTCATAAACTTGAAAATTAAAATTAACTTCAAAAATAGTTATCCAAAACGGGTTATCGATGGGTCAAAATGTTGAGTACATTGTTCTCAAATAAAAAAAGTTAATGCAATGTATGCGTTATCGTTGAAATAAATTAACTCAACGTTATCTGGAGATAAGTGGACTCAACAAAACAATACATGTTTAAAAAAAAACACTCATGTAAATTGGAACTTAATCCTAATATTCATATTTTCATAGGAATATTATTAACATAGAATATGTTCATATTCTTACAATTAATAATTAATTTAAATAATTTTATAATTATGGAATACTCATATGAAATTCCATGTACAACATCTTAAGTTAGTTAGAAAACCTAAAATAGCGTACAAAATACCGATAATTTTACATCTGCTTAAGATAAATTATTAAATATGAATTACCTCTTCTATGAACACATCTTGTATCGCTTGTATCGCCTTAAACACAGTATTAAACAAAAAATTAACACTCGTGTTAAATCCATTAATTATTTAACAAGTACAAATTTTTGTTATTAAAATTATAGTTACGGTTACGTTTTTTAATATGTGTTTTAATAATACATTTAAAAAAATAACTTAAATAGCGCTTACTTTCTGCCTCTCTGTTGGTGTAGAAACGGTTTGTTTTAAAAAACAAATTATTAAACACAACGCAATAACTTGTTTTGCGTGCATAATAAACATTTTTTCATTATTTAAAAGTGTTAAAAAGTCTTAATAGTGTTTTCAATTAAAATGCTATAATATATAAAGACTTTTTCACTTTAATTTAAAAGTGGATTAAAAAGAAATAATGTATATCTATGAAGTACAACCAGAATCTACAAAATATGCTTGTAGACAAACGAAAACAAAACGTGTTACCAAAATGTTTGTACTATAATGTATTATATTAAACTAGTACAGATATCAAAACGAGGTCACAGTTGTGCATAGAAGTTGTTCTAAAATATGTTGTGTATAAAATTCAATTATCAAAAGTTGTTTTTTTTGTGCTATAAAGTGTAATCACAAAAGTTTAATAATAAAAAAAAAACAGTTACTAAAACCTATCAATAACACAATGAAACCTTCAAATCTCATCTTTAATCGAACTACTCTTCATGATCTTTATCCGACAAGTCCAGCACTGCCATTTATAACACTGACTATCCATAAATAAACAAGCAATCATCTTGTGTGTTATTAGTGGTATTTCAATTGTTCTAATAATGTTATTTCCCCACTAAAGCCCTGTAGGTGCTTCATGCAGTGCCCTCATATTATTAGGTACAATAACCATAACGAAAATCGATGATACACTCTATAGTTTTAATGTTATTGTTTTGTATGGAATATTATCGAGTACAGGTAGTTTTTCACAATGATTGTTGCAATGTAAATAAATGATAAACAATAAAATACAATATTATATGGTTTATTGTCAATATGAAAAAGGTGCTAGGTGACATTGGGTTTTTGTTTTACCTATCTGGTACACCATAGGCGATTGTTTGAACACACATTTGATTATAAATTGTATAGAAACCAATGATTGGTGTTTTGTAGGGCGAGATTAAATAATGTACACATTTATTAGGCATGATTCGTTTTGAAGCGTTTTTTTTTTTTAAAGTGATCTTAACACTTTTAGCTATATATAAACGCTCCGTTTTCACTATACCTTGACCTCAAAGTACGGTCTTGTGTTATATATTCATTTAAAACCTTTAAGCAATACTACATGTGATATTGTTTTCGTAAGTAACAGCATATTATGTTTTTTACACGGAAACGTATGAAAATCACGTTGTAAGTTGTGCAATTTATTTTTCTTGTTTTTTTTTAGAATTATTTATTGAAACAAGAAAAAGCTACGTTTTGATATGATGTATTCAATACTTATTCAAACAGTGAAACATACAGTTACAAATATATATATAACAAAAAACATATTTTAACTCATAAAATTTAGCAAAATATAAGATGCAAAAGTTAGTTCTAAGTAGTCAAATATTTGTCTGGATTTTTGGTAAACGTCAAAAAAAAAAAAAATAACAGACCGCATGGAATCCCCTTACAAACAAACACGTCTTCGTATGATGTTTTGTATTCTTTTTCAAACAGTTACATGTTAGTACGTACATTGATGTTTGCAATAAAAAATGCATACAAATATAACATACTTTGTCTTTTTATTACTTTTATAAAATTTCAAGACAAAAGTATTGCACAAACACATGAATACAAAAAATACACTGAAAACAATATAGTTTTCATATTCTAATAATATAAAATATTTTTAATTTGATTTTTTTTTTTATGGAATATTCTTTAGACATTGTATCATTAATATACGTTTTACGGTTTATTTGTATACCAAAAACACTTGCAACTAGTTTGACTTTTTGTCAAAAAGCTATAGCATTGAAGAGTATGAAAATGGTTAAGGCATTTTAGGCCGGAAAGTGCGGACATATTTAATTTCTGGTATTATGAATTACATACTGGTATAGTTTATATTTACTTGTGTCATTCTAAAACCATTAAGCTCTCAGTTCCGCATCAAAGCTATTAATATTTAATGTTTAAATTATACATCCAGACCTTTTCTTCTGCATAAAAGAGAATGCATTTTTGGATTATTAAGCAATTTATCATGTGCAATTTTATTATTATCTTTTAAAATAATAAAGTTAAATGATTCAATCTTATTAATACCACATACCACACATGGAGACCATACAATAGATCCATACTTCAAGATTGACCGATAATGTGCAATATATCAAGTTTTTAAGCATGCAATATTCAATATGCATTTCTACCTCACTCAGTCAACTTGTCATTACAATCCATAATACCTATCATAATATTAGGATTAAAATATAGTTTTAGTATAATATGGGGAATGGCAATATTACAGCGTTGTAATATCATAAGTTATATTAGCTACTTTTGCAATTCTTATAGCTAATGGTATTTCCCCACTAAATGCCTATAGCTGCAACATGCAATTATTATGTCTAAGCATTAATATTTTATACATCATTTAATATACATTGGGTATTGTAATATATTTTATTTATCTCTAGTGGCAGTTAAACTTAACCAACTTGCGCAGCTCTCGATCTAGGCATCTTTCAATGATACGCCTCAGTAAACTAAATATTGTTATAGGCATCTAGTTTTTTATTTTACTTTCTAATCCTTTGCCTTTGTAAAGAAGGATGGTTTTACCGCTACGGAAATTGTTTGAGATCAAATATCTGCTAGATAATTCCGAATCAGTAATCTCTTATTGGTAACAAACCAATGACTGATTTTCATGTTAGTAATAAGTAATGTTTAAACACAAATTTCTCAAAAACTGATTTTTATACCATATTTATATTGATGTGTGGTACGTAATACAATTAAAAATATCAAAACGCGTAAAAGTGCACTTGTACGCGACGAATGGTACACAATTTTGTCGTATTTATTGAAATATTATTTATAAGCTAAATTTATTTAAACAATATTAAGCCAACGAATTCTTCTATTGTAAAAAAAATATAACTTTTTTTATTTTAAAATATTTTTTATTTAATGTTAAATAACCATATAATTATTAAAAATGTAAAAGCTACAAATTTTTAACATTTTTATTTAAATAGGGAGCATTTCATACATTCTTAAACTAGTTATCAATTATCATATAAGTGGAAAAATCTAGAAATATGAAATTAAAAATAAAAAACACTAAAGAATTACATAGGTTTAAATTTATTTATTTATTTAAATAAAATAATTAGTTTGTAAGTGCTTGTATCTGATCACTTCTTATTGTGGAAATGAGATTGCATTAAAAACGAAAAGAATCTTTTTTTTCTCTGATGGCAACCAGCTAATTTACACTGCATTATCTATCAATAATAGTTTGGATATTTGTTTTAATAGAGAGTCTTCGGAGAAAAAAAGCAAAGATAAAAAAATTTAGAGTAACTTTAACAATACTATACAGGAAATTATATAAAAATACATAATTTAATCATTCAAAACTTACACTAAACATTCATAATCTAACTATTCAGAACCCAATTAAATATAAAAGATGAATGTGTAAATGATCAAAAAATAATATATGAATAATTATATAATAACAAAATACTTTAGCAAACGAAATATTTTATACATTCCAAAATATTACTTAAAAGAAAAAAAATTTTTTTTTATTCATATACATATTTTTAATTATTATTTATTAACAATATCTTTAATAGTAATTTAAATTTTTCAGAGTTCTGCGATTAGGTAGCATTTTAGACGCCTTTTTAATCATGACTTGTGCCAACGACCTAAAAACATTTTTTTTTACTATCAGTTTTTATATAAGTACATTTTTTTACAATAATTCGAGCATCCAAAATATATTAGTAAGTTTATTTCAGAAATACTGTTAAAACAATTGTATTGTAAGGTATCAAAAATCATAAATACGGTTTAAAACTATAAAAAATGTTGTGTGGTTTTTGTGTTATTTTTAACAATAATTGTAGGATCCAAATATTAGTTGATATTAGTTTTGGTGAAAAGTAGGTGTTAAAAATCTTTGCTATAGGTAACCGGCTTATATAAACATTACTGTCAGAACTAATTTTATAAAAGTTATTAAAGTTGGTTAATAAAACAGAAAATATTTCCAAAACTCTTTCTTTAACCATAACCAAAAGCCAACAAGGTGCATTTATTTGTAGTCCTGGGTTATAACAATACCTTAGCTGCGGTACTTATATCTGTTTAACATAAGACAATAAATATAAATTACCTTATTCATACCCCACGCCTTATCTTCCGCAATCATATTCGCAAGCTCTTCTGCTGAGATTAGGCCAAGTGGACGACCTGTATAAAGTTTTTAATTACTTCCGAATTACAGTTAAAGCAATTTTGACGAATACAACAAAGTCGTGTACTATTCTTCGAGTACAATTGCAGATTATCATTTTCATTTTTTTCAATTGTATTACAAAGCACATTTTAAAAAAAATATGGAAGAAAAAAGGTTATTTTTTATTAATTAATAATAAAACGTATTGCTTACCGAGGTAATCAGTCGCCGGTTCTTCTGATTTATGAATAACCCTAGTCCAGAACGCTTCATCTTCGGCATTTATCTTTGCAATATCTTCGGCTGAAACAATTTTAATGATTACAATAAAATCGTGTACCATTCGTTGCGTAAAAATGTACTTTTCACTTTTTTAATTGTATTAGGTATAACAAATTAATATAATTGTGGTATAAAAAACAGTATTTAAGAAATTCGTGTTTAAACTTATTACTTACCACCGGCATTAATATTTGGTTTTTCACCTTGTAGGCGTTGGATGATTCGCCATTTTCTTTCAAGCATCTATAATGAAATTAACATACTTCTTATGAAATATTTTTATATCTTTATGAGTATAGTTTTAAGTTTCAAATTTTTTTACTATTTTACATAATAATGCTAGTTAATAACTTATAAGACAATTAATGGTGTATATATTTATTAATGTACATTCAGTGTTGCTGATTTTGAATAAAAGTCTAGTCTAAAAGTTTTAAAACACAAATTGACATAGCTTATTAAATACATTTTAAATGTATATTAATTTGTTTAAAATAACAAACTAGTAATAACCAACTTCAAATTTTTTTGTATCAAAACAGATTTTTTCATTATTTATAATAACCATAAAATTCATGACTTAATTATTTTTTTTAATAATTATAAAATGTTATTTATTATATCAGTTTATATATATGAAGAGTTTCATGTTTTACAACATTTCGAGCCTCCAAATATTACTTAGGTATAGTATTATTGAAAAGTTTGTGTTAAATTTTCTTTTTATAGGAAACCGACATAAAAAACCATAACTGTTAGCAGTAAATTAATATAGCTCTTTAAAATTGGTTAGTAAAACTAGGAGTATTTTAAAATCTCTTTCAAGAACCATAAGCAAAAGGTAAAATTGTGAATCGATTTGTAGTTCTGTGTAAAATAACACATTATTATATGACTGCACTACTTTTACATTTGTTTAAAATAAAATACTAAATTTAGATTACCTTCATATGGTTCGTTTGAAAATCATTCTAAAAAAAAGTGTTAAATATCAAAGTAACAATTGTTTTAAATCCAGTTTATTTTTTAACCTATACTAATATACTCAAGATAATGTTATTTCTAAAACAACAAAATCATTGCTTCATTTTTCACAATTTATTATGATTTTATTTCGATATTAGAATTTTTTTTGTCATAATAATAATTAGTTTTAAAAATATGATTTAATTTTTTTTTATTTTGTAATATTACTATGTAGTATTTATATAAAAGTCCTTATACAACATTTTATGTTTCTAAACGCGAAATAGTGTAACGTGTAAGATAAATATTAAATAATAATTACTCTATCTTTAGCTCATTATGCTCTAATGGTCTCTTAAAAAAAAATATTTAAGATAAAATTAACTATTGATGTATATGTATTTTAATATTTAACATACACATTTTTTTAATGTTAATAAGTGTTTTCTTATAAAACGTTGTGGAATGTAAGTAATACTATTTTTTTAACTCTATAAGATAGAATTAATAGCATAAATTACCTGATCAAGGCGCTTAATTTTGTCCATCTTAAAAACAAAGTATTAAACATAAAATGAATACTTCATTAAATGCATAATCATGTTAAACAAATATATTTTTTTTTAACATTTTTCCAACTAATACAACTTTTATTAAATCAAAGGTGTGTTAAAATAAATTGTTGTTTTTTATGGTTTGTAACGATTGAATATCATGTTTCAAAATCATAAATAGTCCAGGCCAATTAGAAAAAAACTGGAAAGCAGAATTTTGGTAATACCTTAAAAGAAGGGTACTTAGAAACATACTAAAAGTCCCCTAAGATTGGATGCCTGCTATTACGTTACTAATAAGAGAGTGAGTATAACGTTATTAATTCTGGTTACGCAATTTCACGACATATATAAAAACTATTTATTTAAGCTTTATACTTAAATGGTAACATATATATTTTACCAACTTTTTAAATTAAGAGTACTTTACTACAAATTTAAACTGGTTCATAAGCAATTTCGAAACCCTTTTTTTAATATTATAAGAGTTTAAATGTTAGGACGGGTGGTGAAGTGCGGTTGGGAAGTGTGAGCAGATACAAATAATACTTTACTCCCTCACACTCCTGCCCTAAACTTGAAACTTAAAAATAGCTTCAAAAATGGATATCAAAACATCATTTTATTCGAATAATATTTTTATTCGGGAACATCAAACAACATGTGTACCGTTTACTAGGAGTTTATATTTTTATCTTATATTAGAACATATAACAAAAGCATAAATAACCGATCCCGTACAATGTACGTTTTTTAGCAAGTGTTATTAAGGCTCTGTAGAAACAGTTTTATTAAAATATGACGCAAAAACCATGATATTTGTAAAACAACAAAACTTCATACGTTTTGAAAAAATAAAATACTCATGTAAAGTGGAACGTAATTTCATATTCATACAATTCATTGTGATTATATTTCGATATTACAGCTTTTGTTGTCATCACCATAATTTTAAAAAAAATAATTGTAATTTTTTAAATTTTGTATAGATATAATATAGTACTTATATAACAGTCCTCATACATTATTTTAATTACCTGACTCATAAATAGCCATACTTTTACATTTTTGTAAGATAAAATATTAATTATGAATTACCTCTTCCCCGAGCACAAAATTTACTGCTTCCTTAAAAACAAGTATTAAACATAAAATTAACACTTGTGTTAAATTCATTTTAGTTTTTAACATAAACAACATTTTTATAATTAAAACTGTAAATATGGTTACATTTTTAATACGTGTTTTAATAATACATTTTTAAAAATTAACTTAAATAACGCTCACCATCTGCTTCCTTGTGATTGAATCTGTTTGTTTTAAAAAACAGATTATTAAACATAACGCAACAACTTCTTTTGCATTCATAATTATTGCAATAGTTTTTAAGAAGAATTAAAATTGATTTAACTAAAATGTAGTATAAAAAGACTAACTTGTTTAACATTTGAGAAGAAATAACGTGTATATATGAAGTAAAACCAGAGTCTACAAAATATACATAAGACAAACCTAACAGATTTGCTTTGTAACTTATGCGTCGAGTAGGTATTCCAATTGTGGTCACAGTTGTACTTAAATGTTGTTTTAAAATGAGTACTTATGTTCTGTATATATTTCCAATAACAACACTATTATAAATATTTTTTAACATTTACTAAAAACCTAGAATAACATAGTGAAACCTTTAAAAACCATTATTTACCCAACTACCCCTTAATGATCATTATGTCTAGCGCTTTATCTTCATGTATGTAACTATCTATCCATAAATGAACAATCAATCATTCTGTGTGTTTCATTTTTTATTTTCTTAAACACAATATTTAAATTTTATTCTATCTCATTAGAGCAGTCCATCAATACATCCTATAATACCCAACACACCATTAGGATTACATATATTTAGTATACCTACGGTGTTATTTCAACAGTGTATTAATTTCAATAATGTTATTTCTCCACTAACGACTTGTAGACGTTTAATGCAGTGCCGTTATAATATGTATAATAATTAATGTTTTATGGAAATGTAAGCATCATTGGTTACACAATAAGTTATAAGTGTGCTTAGATTATTGTGGTCCATTGCATATGCGATGCGTTTTAACGCAAACTATTTTACAATCTATTTATTAGGAAAAATTCACAATATATACAACTCTTTTACATTACTAATTCAATGTAAAATATATTTTTATTATTTATTTAGCAGTACTGAAATTTAACCACTTACTTGGCAACGTATCTTTAAAGATGCAAGATTTTGAAATAAATATTCCATTTAAAATATAAAAATATATAGTCTATTTTTATTTTGTATAGATATACTATTACGGTTAATTTTAACAATTTCCAGAATCTCGCGCCATAATATATGTTTTTTTACATCGTTTCTAATCCGTGTTATCAGCTAACATATCATTTTTTTTAAATAGATTTTCAACACATTTTATTTACAGTTGCAAAATAAAATATATCAATTCAGATGTTGGAATCTAATTATGTACGTCTAAATAATTTTAATATTAAAATATAGCTAATCAAATTTATCTAGTAATTTAAGTAAAATATAAAAAGTGTACAGTATCCACACTTCATTTCTAATATCTTATCTTCAATCGTTTATCCCATTCCACTATCTTTATTAATTCACCTCCATGATATTCCTCCATTCTCCTTCAAAAATCCCTAATATTCCTCCATAGTCCTCTGTAATCCTTTTCCATACTTTTCTAAAGAATATCCAACTTTGATACCAACGTTATGGTATACTCTTAATTTTTAACACCTAATTTTAAACCGTTATAATTAACAAAAACATTTAGAATAGTTTTAGTATGGTCTTTTATAGAGTACCTACAAATTGTTTTTCAGAATGACTGTTGCAATGTAAATAAATTACAAACAACTTCAGGCGTTATAATATTACAAACATTTTAGTTTTAACTTTTGTAAGAACATATTTTACATGCGTTGTTATAATAGCCCTAATTGATAATTGTTTATGATTATAGTTAATATGGCAAGTGCACAAAAAATTTATAGTTAATAATAAAATAAGATTTTAGGTATATGGTTCATTGTCAACAGGTCTAAGGTGCTAACTAATACAAGTTTTTTGTTTTGCCTATCTACTGTAATACAGGCGATTGCTTAAAATTAAATTTGAATATAAACTGTAAAAAGCCAAGGAACACCTGTGAGCATGTATTATAAGCTAATACCTCGACATTCAGAACAATTATCTTTGATTAAATTTTCCTGTAATTGATAGTTACAATATTATTTATATAATTTACAATTCATTATACCTATCATAATATTAGGATTAAATATTTTAAGTATAATATGAGGAATCCCCATTCACATTGTTGTAATATCAAGTTATATTAGCTACTTTTGCAATTCTTATAGCTAATGGTATTTCCCCACTAAATGCTTATAGCTGCAACATGCAATTATTATAACTAAGCATTAATATTTTATATATTATTTAACATACAGTGGGTATCGTAATATTTTTTATTTATCTCTAATGGTAGTTAAACTTTACCAATTTGCGCAGCTCTTGATCTAGGCATCTTTCAATGATACGCCTCAGTAAACTAATTATTTTTATAGGTCTCTAGTTTTTTTTTTTACTTTCTAATCCTTTGCCTTTGTAAAGAAGGATGGTTTTACCGCTACGGAAATTGTTTGAGATCAAATATCTGCTAGACAATTCCGAATCAGTACTCACTTGTTGGTAACAAACCAATGACTGATTTTCATGGTAGTAATAAGTTACGTTTAAACACAAATTTCGCAAAAACTGATTTTATACCATATTTATGTTGATGTGTGGTACGTAATACAATTAATAATATCAAAACGAAAAAATGCACTTGTACGGGACAAATGGTACACAATTTTGTCGTATTTATTGAAATTGTTGTAACTGTACTTTGTTTGTTTCAAAAATAATTTTAAAGTCACTACAACAATATTATACAGGTAATAATAGTAAACATACATAATATAACTATTCAGAACTCGTGCACACATAAAAAATTAATGTGTAATGAATCAGGACATAAAATTGAAGTATTTATATAATAAAAATAATATTACGCAAACAAATTCTTCTACTGTAAGAGAAAAATATCTTTTTTTTCATTATAAAATATTTTTTATTCAATGTTAAATAACCATATAATTATCAAAAATTTAAAAGTTTTTTATTTTAATAGGGAGCATTTCATACATTTTTTAACTAGTTATTAGATAAGTGGAAAAATCTTTTAAATAATAATATTTAAATAATTATATAATAACAAAATACTTTAGCAAACGAAATATTTTATACAAACCAAAATATTACTTAAAAGAAAAAAAATTTTTTTTTTATTCTAATACATTTTAATAATTATTTATTAACAATATCTTTATTATTAATTAAGTGGTTTTTGTGTTATTTTTAACAATAATTGTAGGATCCAAATATTAGTTAGGTTATAGTTTTGGTGAAAAGTATGTGTTAGAAATCTTTGCAATAGGTAACCGGCTTATATAAACATTACTGTCAGAACTAATTTTATAAAAGTTTAAGGTTAAAAGTTTTAAAGTTGGTTAATAAAACAGAAAATATTGCTAAAACTCTTTCTTAAACCATAACCAAAAGCCAACAAGGTGCATTTATTTGTAGTCTTGAGTTATAACAATACCTTAGTTATGATACTTTTATATCTGTTTAACATAAGAAACTAAATATAAATTACCTCATTCATACCCCACGCCTTATCTTCGGCAATCATATTAGCAAGCTCTTTTGATGTGATTGGGCCAATTGGACGACCTGTTTAAAGTTTTTATTTAGTTCCGAAGTACAATTAAAATAATTTTGATGAATACAACAAAGTCGTGTACTATTCTTTGCTTACAAGTGCGGATTATCATTTTCATTTTTTTAATTGTATCAGGTAGCACATTTTATAATAAATATGGAAGAAAAAAAAATTTTTTGTTTATAAATTAATAATAAAACGTGTAGCTTACCGAGGTAATCAGTCGCCGGTTCTTGTAATTTGGCATTGACCTAAAACAGTATTTTTTAAATTAATGTTTTTGTTTACATAAATATACAATTTAAATAATAATGAATTTATTATATCAGTTCAAATTTAAATAGATATTTGTTTTTCAACACTGTGCAACAAACTGGATCCCTGTGTTTAAATACTACATAATTATGTGAGTTGCGCTACTTTTACATCCGTTTAAGATAAAATACTAAAAATGAATCACCCTAATCCAGAACGCTTCATCTTCGGCATTTATCTTCGCTAAAACAATTTTAATGAATACAATAAAATCGTGTACCATTCGTTGCGTAAAAATGTACTTCTTCATTTTTTAATTGTATTAGATATAACAAATTACTATAATTGTGGTAAAAAAACAGTATTTTAAAAATTTGTGTTTAAACTTATTACTTACCACCGTCATTAATATTTGGTTCTTCACCTTGAAGGCGTTGGATGATTCGCCATTTTCTTTCAAGCAACTGAAATAAAATTAACATACTTCTTATGAAATATTTTTATATCTTTATGAGTATAGTTTTAAGTTTCAAAATTGTTTACTATTTTACACAATAATGCTAGTTAATAACTTATAAGACAATTAATGGTGTATATATTTATTAATGTACATTCAGTGTTGCCGATTTTGAATAAAAGTCTAGTCTAAAAGTTTTAAAACACAAATTGACATAGCGTATTAAATACATTTTAAATGTATATTAAGTTGTTTAAAATAACAAACTAGTAATAACCAACTTCAAATTTTTTTGTATCAAAACAGATTTTTTCATTATTTATAATAACTATTAAATTCTTGACTTTAATATTTTTTTTAATAATTATAAAATATTATTTATTATATCAGTTTATATATATGAAGAGTTTCATGTTTTACAACATTTCGAGCCTCCAAATATTACTTAGGTTAAAGTATTTTTGAAAAGTTTGTGTTAAATTTTCTTTTTATAGGAAACCGACATAAAAAACCATAACTGTCAGCAGTAAATTAATATAGTTCTTTAAAATTGGTAAGTAAAACAAGGAGTATTTGAAAATCTCTTTTAAGAACCATTACAAAACGCTAAAATTTTGCACTGATTTGTAGTTCTGTGTAAAATAACACATTATTATATGACTGCGCTACTTTTACATTTGTTTAAAATAAATAAAATACTAAACTTGGATTACCTTAAACTTGTTCGTTTCAAAATCATTCTGAAAAAAAAAGAATTAAACATCATTTGATTTAAATCCATTTTAATTTTTAACATGTACTATTAT